TTGTTTTTTTGAAAAATATATGCCCATTTTGAATTTGATGCCAGCAACACATTTCAAAAAAGTTGGGACGGGGACAACAAACGACTGGTAAAGTTGTGGAATGCTAAAAACACCTGATGGTTAATTGGCAACAGGTCAGTAACATGATATAAAAAGAGCATCTCAGAGAGTCTTTCGACATAAAGATGAGGAGGGGTTAAACAATTCAAGAATAACTTTTCTCAGCATTAAATAGCAAAGAACTTGGGGATTTCATTGTCTACAGTACATAATAACATTAAAAGATTCAGAGAATCTGGAAAAATCTTTGTATGCAAGGCCAAATAACAGTATATGCTGGCCATGATCTTTGGGCCATCCGGCAGCACTGCATTAGAAACAGACACAAATCTGTAGTGAAAACCACTGCAATGAGCTCAGGAACACCTATGAAAATGAATGTCTATGAACACAGTTCAACGCTGCATCTATAAATACAAGTTAAAACTCTATCATGCAAAGACGAAATCATATATAAACAGGATCCAGAAACACCGCCACCTTCTCTGGGCCAGAGCTCACTTAAGATGGACTGAGGCAAAGTGGAAAAGTGTCCTGTGGTCCGACAAATCAAAATTTGAAATTCTTTTTGGAAATCATGGACATTGTGTCCTCCGGGCTAAAGACCACTCAGCTTGTTATTAGCGCATAGTTCAAAAGCCAGTATCCGTGAAGGTATGGGGTGCATTAGTGTACATGGCATGGTGACGACATCACTAAATGCTGAACGATATATGGTTTACCTTTTTTTCAAGGTAGGCCTTGCTTATTTCAGAAAGACAATGAAAAACCACATTCTACACATTCTACCAGCATGGCTCTGTAGTGAGAGTTAGGGTGCTAAACTGACCTGCCTGCAGTCCAGAGTCCTTGCTGCATTATGAAATGAAAAATACGACAAATGAGCCCCCGAACCGTTGAGCAGCTGAAATCCTATATCGAACAAGAATGGGGTGATGCAACGCAGGGGTAAACATGCCCCTGTCCCAACTTTTTTGGAATGTGTTGCTGGCATTCAAAATGGCCGAATATTTTTCAATAATAAAATTTCTCAGTTTCAACATTTGATATGTTGTCTTTGTACTATTTTCTATTAAATATAGCGTTTACATGATTTGCACATCATTGCATTCTATTTTTATTTATATTCTGCACTGTCTTAACATTTTTGGAAATGGGGTTGTACATAGGTGCCAACTAGGGAGGGGCACTGGCTCGTTGGCCTCCCAAAACTAGCATAAAGCTCACAAAAAGTTGCAGTAGTGAAACTACACTGAACAGTCTGAAAACAGCTGCGGCACTATGGTCACTATGGCAACCAGAAAAACTGCTGTTTTTCGCTTGTGCATTACACTCATGGATTCTTTTCCCAACACTTAATAATGATATAAATTAAAACTATGAGCAGATCACATTCCATGTTCCCTTTATGTGATCTACTCATTACAAGACGACAGTAGTGCAAAGTGATCACATTATATACTTCAACACAAGTGTGTGATAATGAAAACTTAATAAATTATTCATAATTTACATACATTCACCAATGAAACCTGCTCTTATTTTAGAATCCTTCCTCCAAATTAAATGTCTGTCAGATTAGGACATAAAAAAAAATGTATAACCCAAGTTGGCACCAATGATTTACTATATCTAGTAATATAATATATTATACAAAACATAACATTAATTCAATACATTTAGTTATAACAGTGCACACTCAAAGCCCCTGCATAATTTTTTCTGTATCCAGTTCTTCTGTTCCATATTGACCACAATGTGTCACAAGATGGATTTATGCTGTAACATTCCACTGTCAAAAGGCCTGTAATGACAAATATGTTAAATCTGTTTCCATCTTTATTGCAGGGTACGTGAGCATGCAGCAGAAATTTCCACTGTTTTACTGAAAGGAGTAATGGGTTTGTGTCAGTTTGACATGAACTTTGCTTCAGGAACTGTGTTTAAGTAACTGAGAAAAACTTTAAATCATGATGGACTGAAACCTAAATATTACCTAAAATAACAGTATTTCAACCATGTGGAATATGAACTTTGTTTTACCTCCTACAAAACTGAATTCCGAGAAGAACGAACAGGATGGGTCTCCAGTTCTGTTGATGATTCCTGTGTCTAAGGCAAGACATGCAAGTTACAGGTCATATTTGGACATGGACAAAGTTGTTATTTTATCTGTCAGCCTACTAAAGTTGAAATAAAAAAAATAAATATGAGAGTTTTAAGACTCAAATATGCTGTGGTAGACAGCTAAAATAACAACTTCAAACAGATCGGTCTTAGCTCCAAAAGGGTTTGCATTCTGTTGAATGCTTTGTTATTGGTTTAATAAAAACATATGTAAATGTGAAGGCTTTACTCTAGTGGGTCCAATATGCCTTACAATGTGTGCTTGACTTGAAAAAAACATCTGCATTCCCCAAATTGCAGTATATTTTCTAATGTAAAACCTAAAACGAGTGATGCCGGATCTTTAATGTGACCTTGCAAGCAACAAAAGTAAAGTGGAAAACATGTCTGGGTGAGAGGTTGGGAGGAATGATGAAGCTGTATTTGTCCAAAAAAAAATTAAGTTGGTTATCTTATACACAAAGTAAATTATGAACAATGAGAACGCCCATTGATTGAGGGTAAATGATTCATTTAATTAAGTAATATGAAAATGGTTGTGTTCTTTATGAATACGTGCAAATAGAAGTAAATATCAGAGTCACTGACCTTCACTGGCCTAAAAGTCACAGAGCTTAAACCCTGATCTATTAATAACTAATTGTCATTTCATATTTATTTAAAAAAAGTAATCCTGCACAGATCACCTTTGGGTTTGTGTGTTGTTACAAAAGTGAGTAGAGCAAAAATGCTGGTAGATTATTTTGAGTTAATTTAAGAGTTAATTTCACTATATATAGTATATTGTATATTGGCTTTTAAACAGTTCATATGAAATCTTAAGCAGACAGAATTACATTAGACTGTCATGTAGATCAAACCTGGATCTAGTCCACTCAACTAATCTACATGTTAGATTATTAAAACATCAAATGGATATTGCAATCTGTCCAAAAACAAACAGAATTGAAATTTAACAGCAGGATAAATCTGTTCTACAACCAGTCAGTAGGTACACCGAACCCAGCATCACAGAAAACCCACTGGATTTCTCAACAACCAATAACAAAGCACTCCACTCTGTGTTGTGCTCTCCCTGTTGGAGCCATGGTCCTCTCATTCGACTTAACACCCTTCCCATTTGGTTTTCCAGCATGTACTAATACACTATTCAGTTAACTGGCTGCTGTGAGCCTTCAGCCCATGGTAACAAATTACAGTCAACTGCCAGTCATATAAATGTGGGTCCATATGTTTTCTACGATTATATCAAGTTTTTAATGGAAAATTCTCTTTAGTACTCTTTAATACTCACCACTGATGCCCGTTTACACCTGCACAATCGACACAATTCATCTAGGTCACCCGTTAATCTGTAATAGAATAATAAAATAACAAAATTCTTGTGCAAAGGCTCTGATCAATTTTCCCTCTTTTCTAAGCATCAAATTCGCTTGTTTTTCTCTCTTAGACAGCTCTCTGGTCTTCATATTGATTTATCCTTTTTAACAACAAATGCATTCTTCACAGGCAAAACCCAGGGCTCAAACCAAGAGAAGACATTCAAAACAGTTAACTGTTTAACCAATCAATCTAACAGGGCAAACAAAGAAAAGGTTGGTTCAAACAATAGGTTCCATGTTCTAAGTTGTTTGAATTGTTTAGATGTGAACATCAGGAAATAAAAGCTGAAATTCTGATCTATCATGTCGTATTCATCTTTTGATCTCCAACCCAAATGTCTTCATGTATTGGCACAATTGGCACAACAAGCCATTAACAAACTACCAAAGATGGCGTCTCTGTTTAGCAGAAGTGAGAATTGGCAGAACATTCCTTTGTTTCACTATGTAGCACATCAGGAGTTTTTAGCATTGTGTTTGGCCCCTGTGCTCTCTATTTGATACAAAAACAATATGGACTAACAAAGCTGAACAGAAAAGGCTTTGATGTTTCAAAGGCTGATTATGCTTTTACAAACATATGTCACAATGCAGAGAACGGGTTCATGGGTAAGCACAGCTCGCAGAGGCCACAATGTGAACACTGACAGGCCTCAACAGGCCTCAAGTCTGCAGAACTGTGCATCAAGCAAATGCTAATTAGCTGTTTTGGTAGGGTCTGGGACAGGACGAGACCCAAAACTAAACTAGTGCAAAATTAAACACAGTTGTTCAAGGACCAGTTGGGGGAAGAGGTCTGACAATACAAACATTCATACAACAAAAAAACAGTGAAGCAAGGATTAATTCTTGGAGAGAGAGAGAGAGAGAGAGAGAGAGACAGAGGAAAAACACAACAGATTTTCCACTTTGTTTGCTGTACATTCAGGTCTGGACAGTGCCCCCTAGTGCACTGACACCTCTGTGTACAACACATGCACAGACGTATAATTCGGCTTTGTACAAAATTTTAAGACTATGGCATGATTGTAAATTATACTTATAAAATAAACTTACACAATTTGAAGAGTAAGACAGCACAGTGCAAAGACACATTCAGAGGGTATGAGTATGACTCGCAAATCCACTGTGCACTCACCATTTCCTAATGGAAAATATGAAAACGATATTGAACAAACAAAAGCAGTAACAATCATTTACATTAAAACATTGCTAGTTAGTTATTGATTAGGTAATAAATTTCATAAGATTTCATGATGAGTGTTAATCTGAATTTTTTGCAGTGCTGCATTTTACAGTATTACCAGTATATGAACAATGATTCAGAGAACCGAATTCAATTAGATGACATTATAATAGTCATATGTAATCAACACAAGTCAAAATGTATTCCTTTTGTAGTTTAAACATATACAACACTGTTGATCTCACTCACGTGCTTTGAGAATCAGTTCTACTGCCAGTGCAATAGAATTCACAAAAATGAGACCCACTGCCCCCAGCATGTACACAAGCATGTACGCATGTGAAAAACCTGTATAAAAAAGCCGTTTATCAAGCAATCATATATAAAAGAAAACTCAGTAAAATTCAGAAATTTATGAAACTAAAAAAAAGTAAAAACAAGTAATTACTCACTACGGATTACAAAATTAAATGATTAATCACACATTAAGTATGAGTATGCTATTCTGCAAATGTGGAACTGAGGCTGGTTTCATCTCAGGCATTATTCAATTGACTGTATCGTATTTTAGCCTCCTAAAGAGTGTGTGCTTTTATGCTTACCTTGTTGTGTGGTGCCTCTCTCCAGAGATCCTGTGAGGAAGTGACATATGTAAAGGAAAATGAAGTAAGTTAAAGTATCAGTCTGGTGTTCATTAACCTCCCATAATGTTTGTGCAACTGGTACAAGGTACCAAGAAGTATATCGCTGTTGTCAGAAGAAAACCTCTCCAACCTCTCCATTTTTTCAGTTTTTGACATAATTTGAAAATGACTGTTGTCCTTTATATTGTGTGTAAATTTCATGATGAATGAAAAGAAATGACAAAAAATGACTCAGAAAAAAGTCTGGTTCCATTGACTTACATTAAAAGTAAAGTATGTTTTTTCCTTCTCCTGTAAAGTTACCATTTTGGAGATACAAGGTTTTGTTCCGACAACAGCGATATGCATAAGTATACAAACAGAACGGAAAACAGTTTCCTGTTAAAACTGGGCTAAAGAGAAAAAACTCTTCTTTAATGTAAATTGTCTTTTAAAAAGCTTTGTGGAAAGTACTTTATAACAAGATAAGTTTTCTTTGAAATTTATAGTTTTAACATTACACAATCCTTTTCAATGAATTCCCACCAATTATGTGATGAATGTTCTTACATGTACCGTATTCTTTCAACAAAAAACGAATTTGAAAGACATCAGAATAAAAAATGCATATCGGATAAATGGACCAGACCTTGAAATAATGCTATCACAGACAAAACGTGGAGATATGCAGTCGCACAGGTCAATTCTTCTCGTTCTGCATATGACACAGAAAAACAAATATTTTACACTGATTGAATCACAATGACTTAATCCATGCATCCACATATTAATGCCTAAAAATTATTTCAAAATTCACAACACAGTTTAATATAGCAGTTTTGTACTTGATAATTCTTATTAACATGTCCTCTTCACGTCCAAAAAACTGGTAACACTTTACTTACAGGTGCTGTTCATAAACTTACATGCCACATTTTTAAAGCTTACTTCATAAACATTTTTTAAAGCTTACTTCAACAAGCATCAGCTGCCTTAACTGCTTTAGTCAGGTTTTATGTAAAGTTGCCATAATGCCCATGTTTTGGCTAACATTAGGCTGCTTCCTGACATTTCCTGAAGTGAAATGACAGCACTTAATGAGAATTATGTAAATCAGTGTATTTTTGCTACACTATATTTCCAAAAGTATTCGCTCGTCTGCTTTCACACGCATATGAACTTGAGTGACATCCCATTCTTAATCCATAGGGTTTAATATGATGTCGGCCCACCCTTTGCAGCTATAACAGCTTCAACTCTTCTGGGAAGGCTTTCCACAAGGTTTAGGAGTGTGTTTATGGGAAGTGCATTTGTGAGGTCTGACACTGATGTTGGACAAGAAGGCCTGGCATGCAGGCTCCGCTCTAATTCATCCCAAAGGTGTTCTATCAGGTTGAGGTCAGGACTCTGCGCAGGCCAGTCAAGCTCTTCCACACCAAACTCGCTCATCCATGTCTTTATGGACCTTGCTTTGTGCACTGGTGCGCAGTCATGTTGGAACAGGAAGGGGCCGTCCCCAAACTGTTCCCACAAAGTTGGGAGCATGAAATTGTCCAAAATCTCTTGGTGCTGAAGCATTAAGAGTTCCTTTCACTGGAACTAAGAGACCGAGCCCAACTCCTGAAAAACAACCCCACACCATAATCCCCCCCACCACACTTTACACTTGGCACAATGCAATCAGACAAGTACCGTTCTCCTGGCAACCGCCAAACCCAGACTGGTCCATCGGATTGCCAGATGGAGAAGTGTGATTCGTAACTCCAGAGAACACGTCTCCACTGCTCTAGAGTCCAGTGGCGGCGCTTTACACCACTGCATTCGACGCTTTGCATTGCGCTTGGTGATGTAAGGCTTGGATGCAGCTGCTCGGCCATAGAAACCCATTCCATGAAGCTCTCTACGCTGTTCTTGAGCTAATCTGAAGGCCACATGAAGTTTGGAGGTCTGTAGCAATTGACTCTGCAGAAAGTTGCCGACCCCTGCGCACTATGCGCCTCAGCATCCGCTGACCCTGCTCTGTCATTTTACTTGGCCGACCACTTCGTGGCTGAGTTGCTGTCGTTCCCAATCGCTTCCACTTTGTTATAATACCACTGACAGTTGACTGTGGAATATTTAGTAGTGAGGAAATTTCACGACTGGACTTGTTGCACAGGTGGCATCCTATCACGGTACCACGCTGGAGTTCACTGAGCTCCTGAGAGCGACACATTCTTTCACAAATGTTTGTAGAAGCAGTCTGCATGCCTAGGTGCTTAGTTTTATACACCTGTGGCCATGGAAGTGAATGGAACACCTAAACTCAATGATTTGGATGGGTGAGTGAATACTTTCGGCAATATAGTGTATGTCTGAGTGGCATAATGGTAATTATGTTGTAGAATTTGCCAAGTCAGGTTGGTTGCACAGTTGAATAAAAGTGGGAACTTTTTTGGCGTGGTAGCAGATGTTGACATGCAATGGCCAGGCGCCCTGACCAAATGGACTGTATTGATCCCATTCCAAGAACCACAGCTGACAGTGAGTTGTGTCTGCTGAGGTGAACAGGTCCAGGTGTGCCTGTCCATATTTGCCCCAGATAATACTGACCATGTGTTGGTCAGGTCTCCAGTGGCCCAGGCTCACCATGTGCCATGGGAGTGCGTCTGCTGTCGGGTTAGTAACACCCAATAAGTGAGCAGCTCTCAATGACAGGAACTTGGCATGTCCATAGGTCCTGCGCCAGGCTGCGTAATCGTTCATAAGCACTGGAGGTCTGGAAGAAAATACTTTAAGGCAAGTTTCACTGCTTGCAGCTTGAGGTGGTTGATATGTTCCTGTGGTAGATGCATCTGTTTTCACCACCTCTCTGCATGCAGGCAGCTGACCCATCATTGTCCTGGACATGAGGAACTGTAAAGACCGGCATGATCTGAGAGCTATCAGACACTCATATGGAGACCTGTGCTGCAGCTGTGAGGAGTCCACAGCAGTGCTTAGTACTTCATCTTTGCTCCCTGCCTCAGGCGGCCAATGAGTAGCAGAATCGCCTGGGCTCAGTCCATGAACAGCAAGGCCACCATCATTTGAGAGTTCAGCAACAGTTTGTTCTTTTCCCAGTTTATAGATAGGTCCAGTGCTTAAACGTGGTCCAATAGCCTCCAAGTATCCTTAAGCACTCACTCTTCAGAGGGGACAAACACCAGCCAACTGTCCAAGTACGAATGCATTTTTAGCCCTTGCTCCATTAGGGTTGTCAGGGCAGCCTGCATGCACTTTGAAAATGTCCTTGAAGTTTACAACAGTCCGAACGGAATAACTTTGAATTGGAACACTTTGCCCAGGAATGCAAACCATAGAAAACACCTTTGCCTTGATGAATGTGGAAGCAAGCATCTCTAAAGTCCACCAAAGTGAACCATTCTCCTTGGCAAACACTGCACAGAACAGTAGCAGTGTATAGCATGCGGAAGGGTAGAACTTTTAGAAATGAGTTTAACAGCCGGAGGTTCAGAATTGCCTCCATCTTTCTTTGGAACAATTAAGTAATTTGAGTAAAAGCCCTCTGGCTGAACATCAGGGTCCAGATTTTTTATTTCTCCTCTGTACGGGAGGGAACTGACTTCCAGGGAGAGCGTCAACAAATGAACTCTGTTCTGAACAACAGTAACCTTCAGGAAGGCACTGTGAGGAGGCCAACACCAGAAGTGCAGCCTGTAGACTGTCGACATGATACCCAAGACCTATTGGTCTATCCTTTTTCAATAGGCCATGTGTTGGGCTGCCAGCAGCTCCATCACCGGCTGAGGACAGTCAAAGATAGCCAGACAGGTAGCTTAGGGTGGCGAGGCTGGGGTTTTGTATTAGAGCTTGGCTGCAGCTTGGTACCCCAGACCTGAGTACTCACTGGAGATAAGAGAAAGTTCCTGTGCAACGATAGCAGTGTTGCACTCATGGGGTCTCCAGCCTAGATGACTTGGAGAAGGAAGAGCAGCATTCAAGAGCTTCCTTAACTGAGGGGCCAAAAACATGGCCCAGAACTACAGGCAGAGAGTGTATTTTTACCCTGCATGCATCTGAAAGCACAGACTGCACCAGCCATACTTGGCAGCAGCCATGAACCAAATCTGACACCTGTCTTCCATGACCCCAAGCCAGACAGACAGTTGACCAAAACGCAATGTTTAAGAGTTCATTGGTGCTAAGGCTTTGCAGACAAGAATGCAGGGCCAAGAGCAAAAGGGAGAGTTAACAATCCTGGCCATCCTGGTGGCTGTATTATTTGCCCTGGAAAAGAGCCCATCCATGTGTCTACGTTCCACACTGGAACAACATGGGTCAGGGTGCAGTGCTTCATCTGGGGACACTACCTTAGAAGCAACACAAGAATCCACTGCCAGCACTGAAGTGAGCATGCATGAAGAGCTTACTCATTTTGGTCCTGTAGTCACTGGTGCATCGAACACAAGCTTAGCCATCACAAGCTTCAGCACATTTTGAACCTGGTTGACCAGCACCGCTGGCATGAATGGAGTGCTTACCTCGGAATGCAGTGTCGATGAGTAGGAAAGAGGCTCGTGGGGCTGAACTGCCCCAAGGCTGAGAAATGCTGTTCAGGGTATTCAGGGTCTCTTTCGAGTAAATCTCCCTGTACATTATCCTCTGCTGAAATAACACAGCAGTCATGGTCATCAGGCTCACTGTGAAGTAACTTCACCAAATGCCATTTATTCCCAGTAAAACAAAGCAGGAATTAAACCACAGAGTGCTTATTTTTGGAGTTTTGCTGGGCTCAGCAGCTGTGGCCATGGACTAAAGGCTCCGCCATCTGTCTAGCAGCTGATTCACACATACTACCTTTGCATGGCGTGAGTGATGCGGCAGTGCGAGCGCTGCAGCTCAAACACGCTGGCCTTTCATACATACAGTGTTTGTATGTAGACCTCTACTACAATTCTCAGCAGTCCAAACCTACACCAAGGACAAGTCGGACAAGGAGTGGATGACAACAGCTCATAGAGGACGAATGAGCTGGGGCTTGTAGAGCCTGAGATGCTTAAGTGAAGCTCACTCAGGTGTGGTCAGATGAGTAGTTGATGGCAATAGCCCAACACAACTCTGACACTGTAAACAGTGGACCTAAAAGCCTGGCTGCACAACCAGTCTAATGGTAAGAAAAGAGGAAGTTTGCAATGATGATATAGCCCGGTAGAGGAGTCACATGTGACTCACTGGGAATGCAACCACCCAGTCTGTAGCTGCGTATGCATGGAAATATCCACGCAGGTACTGCATGTGCATTACAATGGAAAGGAACCACCACAGGACCACTGATGGCCAGATATTATTTTGGTGGGTGATCGTTCTCAGCATAGCAGTAACACTGACATAGTAGTGTGTGGTGCTGAGTGTATCAGACACAGAGGTGTTGCTGGGGTTTTTATACGTCAGTGTCACTGCTAGGTTGAGAGCGGACCACCACCCAAAATATCCAGACAAGAGCAGCTCTGTGGTCTGAAACTAAACATACCAATAATAATTCCAGTGTGACATCTATTCATTGTCCCTGATGCAGGACTAGCGGATGTATAATATATAGAATGTATATATAATATGAACTGTGCATGGAAAAACAATGAGCTATAGTTTGTAACTGTATGAGAAAGTGTAGCAACAAAGTATGTTTGTCTAATAAAGTGGTCAGTTAGTCTACACCATGTGTAAAAACCCCTTCAACACCACTGTGTCAGATGCACTAGTACCACAGGTAAATCTTCACAAAAGATGGCATGAGAGTTTATCATGAAATTTGTACTTCAAGATGGAGACTTATTTTAGTGTTCTCCAAAAAGTGTTAAGCAGGTTGTAATCTGAGTGAAATCCAGTGTAATGTTTGAGTTGATAACACAAGTAAAAACAACCTGAACATCAGAATTGTGTGCCAACATGGAATTAAAGGGTACAGCAATTAAGAAAAAAAAAACTGCAATAAAATGAAACCTGTAAGTATAAACATTTATACTTCAGAAAATTAAGACATTTCCATATTTACACCACTACTTAAATATTTAATATTCAAGAGTATTTGGGGTAAAATGGCTTTGTAAAAACTACAATATATTTACATTCTAAAATTCATTTTTTTGGAATCCATAATATGGTAGTACATAAATTCAAAAGATTCATGTAATGTAAACAGAGCAGTTTCATATTTGGACACTGAATTTTGGGACAGGTGACAACGTTTTCCAGGATTGTTCTGAAAATAAAGCCAGCAAGGTTAAACTGTATTGCAGGAGTATTCCACTGCAGTCCTGAAGAGCAGAAAACCAGCACAGTTTGGTGATTCCTAACTCTAACACACATAATTCAACTCAGTAGTTAATTGCAAGGTTTTATAGGTGTATTTGTACAGAGAAATTACCAAACTACACTGTGCATCTTCCAGGACCTGAACTGATGACCCCTGCTTTACTGGTTCATGAATAGTCTAGGAACCTGATAATGTCCCACACATGTGACTTGAGTTAATGTGGCTTGGATGCATATTTGGTATAAGGTGCTTCAGTATTTGGGTTCACTTGGGTTCACATGAGGATCATTAAGTAGAAAAGTACCATAAAAAAAATAATGAAATAGGGCTGGTGCCTACCTTTCATAGTTTCCAGCGTGTCATAATGTAAATAGATTGACACTGATGCATTTAGGGAGAGTAGGATTAGCAAAACTAATGTCCAGAGATATGCTGCAAACAACAAAATGTTCAGTGTTTTCACACAAAACAGTCCACATAACAAGCCAACAATTCACATAACTCTTTTTTTATGAGTCAATCTGTTTGAGATGTTTGAAAACCAGATGCCTAAATAGGCAATAATACCACCTTTAGAAAAGTTATTTGCTGAAATGCTAGGCTAACATTGAGTCTATAGGCTAACTTAAATGAATTCACATCTAGGGCATACAATGTATAGAAGCATATCAGTTGCAAAATTAAAATAAAAATGTAATATGTAAAATGGCAGTGTATTCTTATGTTTGAATTTAAATTTCCCAATCATATATGTAATTTCAGGCTCAACATGAAAATTCAAATTCAATTTTACCATTTTAATTTGCCATTTGGTACACCAGTATTGACATTTCATTTACACAGAGATTTAGATGCTTTCCAAGTAACTTTATTTAAATAAAAATGTATGCGAAAGAGTCGAATAAGTGATAATGCTCCCAACTATTGTGTAATGCCACTGCAAAGCAATAAAAGGCTTTACTGAAAGATTTCACAGACCAAGATTTAAATAATACTGCTTTGTAAAGGCATAAGGAAATTAAGAGTGATTAAAGTTCCCAATCTTTTAAAGAAAAGCTAAAAATAATGATTTAAAAACATGCAAAGTATCCCTAGGTGTACTTACGTTTACACTTGACTTTCAAAAAGTGCCAGAAGATTACTAAAGGTAAAAGCAATGACACAGACAGAGTTTCTGAAAAACAGAGAGTGTGAATCACATTAAAGTGACAAAGTTAATATCAGTAACAAAACATAGTTCAATACAACATTAACTATACAAAACAATTACTTACCTAGATTTCTATATAAGAAGATAATAAGGAGCAGGCGTCCAAAATTGGCAACTTCTGTTACTGTATAAATCCACGGTCTGTGTTTTGTGTAAGCTTCACTCAAAATGAAATAAAACATTAATAAAATGTTATTAGTGCTAGCCTATTAATATAATATAATATAAAAAGTAGCTACAATACAGACCAGGTGCTGTGACATAATATGAATTTCTGTCTTTCCCACCCAAATTTCAGGCCATGAGTCTATCATCAGAGTCTGAATCCTGAATCATTTGGATTTTACATAGTTGGGGCAGGACTATGGTGGGCCTCATTGATTCATAAATTCAAATATTGTAACCGATTACATGTAATTCAGGATTTATCAGTTAGTGCTATTATGTACAGATTGGCATGTATAGCAGACTGCATGAAGCATATTTCTCTAGTTTGCTTCAAGAACGGATTCTCTATTAACTATTAAGTTCTAGACGAAAAACATTTCCTTTCTTTTCTTTACTGGAAGGGTCTCACATCAGTGCACTTGTATAAGGCCTACATCATCATTTGTTTTTCTGATGTTTATTTATTTAATTTATTTTATTTTTAGTGGGGTTCCACTTTATTTGGATAGCCCCCTACAGATTATCTACAGATGTCCAAAATTTTAACAAACCATCTGGTGAGATTCTCAGCAAGTTAAGATTAGGATTAGACTATAATTATGGTTAGGTTTAGGTTTTGAGTTGAGGTTAAAGGTAGAGTTTCGATGAGGGGTTGGGAAAGTTAAGGTAGTTTAAGGTAGTGTTTATTTGAGTGTAAGTTAAAGGCAAGGAAATCATCCTAAAAGCATCTACAGAAGGATATCCAAATAAAGGGTTACAATTTTTTACAAGTTTCTCTTAATAAAGTGGATAGTCCTAGTTCTAAAATCTGATTGGCTCAGCTATATTTTGTACAGATGCATCAAGACACCAAAAACCTGTTAATGGATGGTTAATGGTGCTGTTAATGGAATGATAATTAACTGTAATGCTGCTCACATGGACCAATGATGATAGGTGACTGAAATGAATTGTTCTCCATCAGCAGTCCATGGTTGCTGGACAAAATTAACATACTCTAAATGAATTGCATTTTTTTGGTGGGAGAATTTATTGTGTTTGTTATTAATTACATGTAATTAATATATAAAAGCAACAAGACATTTGCCTGCCATGTATTCCAGTGATTTTTTCATAGGCAAGTGGGTTCCTCTCTGCTTCATGTCATACCTAATCACAACCTTAGTCATGATAATCACTGTAATGGTCTATCATGGCTAATTGCTTTAGTGAACATAGGCTTCCAACTCTTTACGATGGTCATTTGATGTTAACTACCCATGTTGCACACTTATTTATAGGCACACATTTGATTGTTACACCCATGTACCACACAAGCAATTTGATTATTTCTTTTTCATTTTTCCAACCATAGCATGTTTTTGATATCAATGTTTTGAGTTCAACATTGGCATAACATTTTTATATATTTATAAACTACATTTACATACAGCTGCCCACCAGTTGTCTAACTGCCTTGTGGTAATAAAAATAAATTAAAATTTTCAATATTAATAAAAATAATCTGCAGCTCTCGTCCGTCATAGTGTTTACAAGTAGAGTGGTGGACTAATTCTGGGATATTTTGTGTGGGTGCATATAAAACCTGTTTAGCTCTGATAGATACAGTTTACAGAAGAAACATGTAACTATGCTGAAGATAACAGTAGTAGAAATAACTGCTGTGACAATTTTCAAAGGCTGTAATGACATACTTACCATAATGTTCACAGATGCATGCAAAATCATAATATGTTCAGTCATATGCTAAAGTTTGGGACCCTGGTCAAATTATGTATTTTGTTTGTTTTTATTTATTTGCTGAGTTTGACACATTAGAAAAAAATATCAAATGTGCTAGAATAATTGCACAGGCCATGTTTTATTTTTTTCCCAATATGGCAAATTACGCAGTTAAACAGTAAATGTGTGTTAAAATGTTCAGAAGTGTGTTCTCTGTAGAGGATTTGTTAACTTATTTTAACTTTGACCAGGGCAGCCCAAACTTTTGCATGTGACTGTATATCACAACAAATGTTAAAAGCATGCATGGATGTACAAATAGCAATTTGTAATGTACACAACTTAATGGAGCACATTTTTCATATTACCAGACTCAAGAAAATTGTAAAGCTTTGTTGATATAAGCAACTAAAAAGATTGAAATTCTTACCTATACAACCAAGGAAAACCGAAGACAGCAGAAGCAATCCTGGAACTCCTAATACAAGTATGGCAGTATAAAAAGTTGCGACACGCACAATAGGAACTAGAGCAGAATAAGAACAAACATGATGTTACACATATACATTTATATATATATAAATATATATTTACTTATGACAGTCAGGGTCTTATTTTTATATTATCATGGTGTTACATCTTATGTCTTGCCTCCCCTCAGTCAATCTAGATCTACATAACTATCAATGTTGCAGACAAACAATAAAAACTAAAGCTATTGACATACGGTCTGAAGACACTTAATGAACTAAAAGAGTGACTGCACCGATTGGTTATTGTTTATACATTGAGCTAAAGCTTTAAATAGAATTTGTAATAAAGTGACCAGTTATATTAAATATTCATATAAACCAATCATATAAATATTCAAATAATAAACCATGGATAAGTAAGGAGGAAAGGCTTTATCTGTCAGTGAAAAACAAATAAAAGCTGCTCGAAAGGAGTTGAGCAGGGTTATAAAGCAGGCAAAGAGACAATATAAAGAGAGGCTTGCGTGACCCTACCTAGTAATACACAGGTTTTATAGAACTGTGTTCATCACGGGCTACGAAACCAATTATTTTATGTACCAGGTGTCCAAATATGACCTTTTAAGTTTTTTGCAAGGTTTGAAAACAATTTTTCTGCAGTTCATGAAAATCTTCTCTTTATCTCAGAATAGCCCTTATCATGTTCAGGAAGGACATCCACAGTTTAGGTAACCAAAATCGATAATAGTTCATACACGCACCCTGAAAGTCTGTGCTGACCAGTTATGTTCAGTCTTTCACAAACTGTCCCATTAATGTAAAAAACTTTTTGCATTTCACCTGTCCTCAAGAAACAATATATCATGTGCATATTAAGACCACAAGCCCATAGCATTAACCTCTTACATAATGAAATGTTTTGAAACAGGGTTGTCTTGGGACATATGAGTAGACAGGTTTCATTATTTTAGGATTCCCTCCAGTTTGCTTATAGGAAAAATGTGGGAATAGACTATATACAGACACACACACACACATATGTATATGTGTGTGTACATATGTATATGTTTCATCTAATAGTTAATGACTTTTACACTTTTACACTTCACAATACAACAATTGCCTGGGTCATGGATTAACCTCAAATCTAGACCAGTTCGTTTCTGACACTATTTTAGTGAGTACAGGAGAACAATGTTGTCCCCTTTACTTTTCACATTGTATACAGCTGATTGAAGGTATAGCCAGGATTCAAACTTTTTGCAAATATGTTCAGTTGATTCTGACCTAGTTGCCCTACGAAATCAAAATTATGAATCAGCTTACTTCATTAAGGACATTAATTTCATTTTCAGCTGGTGTGTCTATGCTTAGTGTAGATTACTTTGATAACACTTTTCTAGAACGCTGATAGTTAATTTACGTAACCACACCACAAACACATCATGGCAGATGTTCTATGCTGTCATGAGTTGTCATGACAGGTTTTGTTCAGAAATGTAACAGTGTCACGTTACTATTACCGGTAATTGTTATGACAGATTTCATAGTGTTTGATGTCATGAAAGCTTATGTCACACTGTGTACTCAAGTTAGCTATCATGACATCAAACACTATGACATCTGTCTTGACAATTATTGGTATGGAAACATGACACTGTTATATTACTAGACATAATCTGTTATGACAACTCATGGCAGCAAGTGCTAGCAAATGTTCTTTTTAATATTGTGCTTTGTTAGTGTAGATGTATCTCAGCGAATGCCAGAAATAGGGGTAATAAATTGATTTTAAAATCATCTGATACTGTTCACCTAACTTTAGACTCTTCAGAGGTCATACTGGTCATTTCTTGCTGCAGCAGTCAGATCAACCCCTCAACATATACACAGTGGTGTGAAAAAGTGTTTGCCCCCTTCCTGATTTCTTATTCTTTTGCATGTTTGTCACACTTAAATGTTTCAGATCACCAAACAAATTTAAATATTAGGCAAAGATTACACAAGTAAACACAAAATGCAGTTTATAAATGAAGATCTTTATTATTAAGGGAAAAAGAAATCCAAACCTACAGGGCCCTGTGTGAAAAAGTGATTGCCCCCCGTTAAAACATAAATTAACTGTGGTTTATCACATCTTTGGAAAGCTGAGTTCAATTTCCCTAGCCACACCCAGGCCTGATTACGGCCACACCTGTTCTCAATCAAGAAATCACTTAAATAGGACCTGCCTGACAAAGTGAAGTAGACCAAAAGATCCTCAAAAGCTCCAAAGAAATTCAGGAACAAATGAGAAACAAAGTAATTGAGATCTATCAGTCTGGAAAAGGTTATAAAGCCATTTTTAAAGCTTTGGGTCTCCAGCGAACCACAGTGAGAGCCATTATCCACAAATGGCAAAAACATGGAACAGTGGTGAACCTTCCCAGGAGTGGCCGGCCGACCAAAATTACCCCAAGAGCGCAGTGATGACTCATCCAAGAGGTCACAAAAGACCCCACAACAACATCAAAAGAACTGCAGGCCTCACTTGCCTCAGTTAAGGTCGGTGTTCATGACTCCACCATAAGAAAGAGACTGGGCAAAAATGGCCTGCATGGCAGAGTTCCAAGACGAAAACCACTGCTGAGCAAAAAGAACATAAAGGCTCATCTCAGTTTTGCCAGAAAACATCTTGATGATCCCCAAGACTTTTGGGAGAATACTCTGTGGACTGTAGAAGTAACACAGCATTTCAGAAAAGGAACATCACACCAACAGTAAAATATGGTGGTGGTAGTGTGATAGTCTGGGGCTGTTTCGCTGCTTCAGGACCTGGAAGACCGACTGTGGTAAATGGAACCATGAATTCTGCTGTCTACCAAAAAATCCTGAAGGAGAATGTCCGGACAATGATCCAAAACACACCAGCAAGTCCACCTCTGAATGGCTTAAGAAAAACAAAATTAAGACTTTGGAGTGGCTTAGTCAAAGTCCTGACCTGAATCTGATTGAGATGCTGTGGCATGACCTTAAAAAGTCGGTTCATGCTCAGAAACCCTCCAATGTGGCTGAATTACAACAATTCTGCAAAGATGAGTGGGCCAAAATTCCTCCACAGCGCTGTAAAAGACTCACTGCCTGTGGCCCAACCAGTTGTTAGGTTTAGGGCGCAATCACTTTTTCACACAGGGCCCTGTAGGTTTAGATTTCTTTTTCCCTTAATAATAAAGATCTTCATTTATAAACTGCATTTTGTGTTTAATTGTGTTATCCTTGTCTAATATTTAAATTTGTTTGGTGATCTGAAACATTTAAGTGTGACAAACATGCAAAAGAATAAGAAATCAGGAAGGGGCAAACACTTTTTCACACCATTGTACATATATACATATATGTATAAACATATACAAAACTATAAAATAAAACTATGCATGTTACAAAAATGAAAAATGTGGCACATCTCCAGCTAAAATTATCCACAAAACAGGTTTCATTTACTGGTTTTGAAAGGTTGGAGCTATATGTATTTAAGAAAAAAACATTATGAATTATATTAAACTGTATTTGTAACAAGAATTTGTAATAAGAAAAAAAACAATTTAAATGGGATTTTGCTTAGAACCTACTCACTTTTCTTCTTTTAATCTCTGTTTTTCATTTTAATAACTTGATCTAAAAGTGATAAGTAAACTCTGTTTTTCCTATGTAGCTGCAATCGTGTTGGTTGTTGTGATTAGCTCTCATTGATTCTTGTTAAATCTGGTATTGTCACGCCTCCTTGAACGGCCCAGAGGACTCCAACTCCCATGAATGAACCAATGCACATTCATTTCAGCGTTCATCCTCACAAGAATTCTAAACTGTCACACCTGTTTTTCATTACACCTCATTAGTCAGTTAGTATATAAAGCCCGGGCTTTAGCTTAGAACTTTGTGAAGTATTGCCAACACCTTTCGTTGTGTACTGAGCATTCATTGTTTGTGTAAGTTCTTTTGTGTATGACCTGTTTTCTGTATTTCTGACCTGCCCTTTTTGTCATTGCCCTTTTTGGTTTGTTCGCTGGAGACTGTATGAGATTTTGGTTTTTGAACTTGGACTGGTTTTGGGCTACTCTCTGGATGTCCCGTTTGTTTTGCTATCTTGCTCTCTGGTTCTGACCCTAGCCTGTTCTGACTACACCCTCTGTACCTTCAACAAAACCTCGAGTAAACTTCAGCCTTGTCCTTTTATCTGGAGCGTCTCATCTGTGTTGACATCGTAACAGGTGTTGTCTACATTTAATTTTCAATAAACTGTTAGAAGCTTTCGATTTTTGTTTTTTGCAATGATGCTTAACTCTTTTACCTTTTATTTTGTACAAAATGATTTGTTTTTACTCAGCCCAAGAAACAATTGTGTAAATTAATGCAGAGTATACTGACTTTTTGATAAGATTTTCTGTACGATTTTTATATTATTCTTTTGGTTTCTCTCTAAATCGTGTTCTAATTTTGACTATGTGAAGTATATGAAATTACCTTGCAAGTAGATAAGATTAATGATTGTGTGTATACGTACCTGAATAAGCAATACCAGTTATCACTATATATTCAAGTAGAACTGCTGTTCTTATAAGACACTGTTTCCCTGTAATACAGTAAGTACACACACACACATATGTATCACAAATTGGTGTGGAATATACTGAATTGTCCATTATTTGCACCGTATCAATCCAAAAACAGACAGTGCCTTAATAACACAGTTTTTTATCATGTATATGACTTCTGATTTTTTAAGGTGCATCATAAGAACAATTACACAGAAGTGCATCACATCCTCATATCTTTACACTAATTTACTCACAAACATTTCTAGCAGTAAAACATACCTCTAACAGAATAGGGAGCAAGCCAAAGTAGGTAAAGAATCCTTAGAAGATTAAGTGCACTGCAAGTAGCAGCTTCAGTGGGCAACCCTGGAGCAAATTAATCAGTTTTAATAATATGCTCTTTACAATCCAAGTGAAAATACAAGGTGCTAAACAAGAAATACAGTAAGCTTAAAAGCACTCAGACAGCACTACTTTGGACATCATACATAATCATGGACAGAATTATCTTTATTGTTTTTTTGTGTTCAGCACCATAAGACCATTACTAAATCCATCTGTAATACCAAATCCCCACCTAAGTTAATTACTTTTTCATAACACCCAACTCTGGATTTAATTACTTGGGTAAAACTGAGCAAGAACCCATGATGTGAGGTATGATGTTAATGAGGTTCCCTAGCCACGTTTACATGCAGCCTAATAATCTGTTAATAATCCGACTAATAGCTCAATCAGAATACAATTTCTATCCGATTCAATGAGATGGGCAATCCTGTAAATAATCTGTTAAATAGAAGAATAATATCCATGTAAACGCCTGTATCTGATTACATTCCCTATCGGAGAGTTTAAGTCCATTCTGATCATGTTCGTCACGTCATAGCAAAAGTTTATAACGTTCAACATGGCGCAGCAGAAACTGGTCTGCAGAGGAGACGAAGTTTATGCTCTGATCTTTAAAAGACGGCGGTGGGACGGACGTCCAGCTTAGGTGTCTCAGAACACGACGTCTTCCTCTCACCCTTCTTTAATAAGGACATGTGAGGAACATTTTTCTGCCATAATTTTAAAGCAATTCAAAACACAAGTGTGCCACCTGAAAACTCGTCTCACTCTGAATTGACGTGATGCTCGTTGCCATAGTCATGTCTACACTAAGTGGTTCTCTACACATGCGTGTCATTTTGGATCTGATTACTTGTAGTGTGCATGTAAACTGAAAAGGTTTTCCATCAGGTTGTTGAGTAGAGTGAACAGATAAACACCTCAGTCTTAATCTATAACCAGAATGTAATCAAGCGGATTGGCAAAAATTTTTGCTATTAAAGCCATTTCCAGTCAAGTTTCATGATGTTTAGCAAACTCAAAGTGTTTTGATAAAAGTAATGGCTTTCTTCTCATTAGCTTTCAAGAAGCTTGTCAGTATGGAGGCAGAGAGTCTGGGGCATTTTGCCTCTTAATGTGGCTCACAACCTTTGATATGCAAAGGCCATTTGACTAACAAACAAAATAACCAACCACAGACTTTTATCTTTTTTAGTGTGGCATGTAAAAGGGCAATGTATTGGAAGGTTTACATCTGAATTTCCCATTAATGACTGCCGTGTTTGGCTCAAAATGAAAATTCAAATTCAATACTATGATTTAATTTTTTTATTTACACAATGATTTTGATGCTTTACGAGCAGCTTTATTTAGATTAAAATGTATTTCCAGAACTGCATGGTGATGCTTATTGTGGTTATGCAATAACAATGTCAAAATACAATTTATCTTATATGCATTTGCACACTCTAATAATGCATTTGAAACTGTATTATCAAAGAGAACACCAAGCTAGAAAGACAGCAAAATTCAAATGTATAAGGGAAACAGTACCTCTCCTCTTTGCAAAGACACGTGCTCATCTACTGTGCTCATTCTGTGGCAAAATAACTTTAACAAATACACTCATCATCAAAAAAATAGTTGCACCCAGAAGGAATCGACTGATGGGAATGAAACTTAGTGGGTAGATTTGACATCGTGAGACAAGCGAATGATTCAAGTTTCACGCTCGGCCGCGCATGTGACATAAGCAAGGACGGGCCTTATCGCTGTACCTGACTGACCATATAAGGTCATCCTGTTGCACGTGCTTTCCATTCTGACTTGTTGGTGTTGGTAGCATCCTTTGCTAGCGAAGTATGCCTCGGAGAAGAGTTCAGAAGCAATTTGAGCAGCTGGAAGAGTTCGAGAGGGATTGCATTGTAGGGCTCCAGGAAGCGGGATGGTCTTATCGACGTACTGCGTGCCATACTAGTCGTGCGGATATTACCATAGCAAGCTGTGGGTGGCAGTGGATAGAAGAAGGCACGCACCAGCAACTGCATCTGGGAGACCTACACGAACCACAGAGCGGGAGAACCAACCGTCAAGCGTGGAGTGTCCCAACAGCCACGATTCAGCAAGCACTGATGCCCTCCATGAGTCATTCTGTTAGTGCCAGCACGACGCAGGACTACATGCACGCAGACTGTTACGATGACTGCCCTTGACTCCATGTCAATGTCGCCAAAGACTGCAATGGTGTCTGGCCAGACTGTCGTGGAGTGACTCAGAATGAACGAGCCATCTTCAGTGACGAGTCCCGCTTTTGTCTTGGTGGAGACGACCAACAAATTTGTGTGCGGAGGCCCTGTGGTCAGCACCAAGACGAACTGTTTTCACAAGTCACACGTCCAGAAGGCCTGGTGTCATGGTGTGGGGTGCAATTTCATACGATGCCAGATCACCTTTTGTCTTCATTACAGGCGCTTTGACAGCCCAACGTTACGTTAACGAGGTCCTGTAACAAGCTTCCCTACCTTTTCTGAACACACGCTCCGGTGTGCTATTCCAACAGGACAACGCTCGTCCGCATACTATTGAGAAACACTACTTCTGTATGTGTAGCTGAATAAATATTTCCATATCAGTCTAAATTTTAATTATTTATTGTTCTTGGTAACCTTTATCTTCTATCTGAATAGCACTGCAATCCAACAACTCCTTCTGGGTGCAACTGTTTTTTTGACGATGAGTATACATTGACCTGACTGTATTTTACTTTTCATAGAGTTCCTAACCATTCCATTACGGTGGGGCCAACAGCACACTCAGCGGCTTTATCTCAAAACATAGCGGCCAAAGAGTTTTGTAGCTATTCTTATGTTAGCAGATGAGGAGAAGTAGAGCAATATAACCACTTGCGATGTTTACTGTGGCTTTATACATCATCCAATGAGAAAGTGTTTAATCAAAGGTTTTCTGGTTTATCAGTTGGGAGGGCTTTCTATTCGCCAGTTCTTTTTCAAATTTTCCATTCCATCTTAAATAGTGCAGCAGTTACATTCTGATGCTTAAATGCGCCAAAAAGTAACTGCTGCACCGGTTAAGGTAGAATGGAAAATTCAAATTGCTGCTCTATACTGATGCGTTACGTAAATCCAGAGAAAACACCTGATTCATGTGTCTTTGGGAAAATGCTGCAGATCTTAGTTCTGCCAAAAATACTAAAAAATACTTACTAAATAAAATACTTACTAAAATTTCTATACATAAGAGCTGAATAAAAGACTGCAAACTGCTGCTGAAGAGGGTTTTTTTTTAAAAAAAATCTCTACTGGCAGCAAAACCCCCTCCTTGCTTTTCAAAATGAGAAACAACTTTAAATCTACACGATTCATGTGACCTATTTATCATTCAAAATGGCGAATTTAGGCGAAAGGTGACAAGTTTGTGTGTGGTTTACTGTAATCCTGAAGGTAATCGCCCTTGTTTTTTTTTTAATAATGTGCCTGTAATCTGATTACTGTCTTTTTTACTATAACGGATTACAGTTACATTTTTTGTAACCTAATTACCTAACGTTGTTACATGTATTGCGTTACTACCCAACCCTGTTCTTGTGAAACTAAAAGGAGGAAGCTGTGTGAAACTGTGTAGGACAGACATACTAAGCTACTGGTTCACAGGTATATATGTGACACACTGAGCATTTCCAGTGATCACGTGATCAGATTTTGTGGCAGGAGGAAGTGTACCACCCACAATTACAATTTCAGTCTCTCACTGTGTTTGTTGTTAGACAAAAATTGCTATGCGAGTCCTTATTCATATAAATGTGAGGGCTGTTGCAATGGTTCACATCGCATGGATTGCTAACACAACTTGTAAAACAAATGGGAGCAGAGCTGAAACAATAAACTACCCAGTTCTCTGCTACGATGACACAGCTGATTAAGGCTGTCAAAGATGCATTGAGAGATGCATATTTGGTCATATGTGTCCCTGACCACCTCCGAAGGTGGTTTGAGTGATTGCATCACAACATGTCTCCAAGACGCATAGGACCCCGTTCATAGTTAGTGCTGTCCACTTATGATCGGACCACTCAGCATGCACGTTAATGCCAGGTGTAAACAGGGCCTTTTATGCAGCTTCAGACCTGTAGGAAACTAAATTGCACTTGCGTTGCACAATGTAAAGTGTCCTTCAACTCATTTGAAACTCAGCCAGAACATCTGCAAGCATCTCAACTTCATGAAACAAGTTTCATGAAACAGCCAATCAAAATGCCAATAACGCATCACATGATCACGTTGAATGACATAATTTCAAAGGACTGATTTTTAACGGACAAGAAAAAAAATAAAAGATAATTTCTTTTGGACAGGTGAATAGGAGGTCCTCCTGATTGACTTTATATAAGGCTTGTTACTAAAGTTACTAAAATAATTATGAAATATTAAGTGAAATACTTACCCTCAATCACACCCCAAAGGATGAAGGCAAGGAACATAATAATATTTGGACAAAAAACAAGTGTGTACTGTATAGCTAACGCTGTTCTGCTGTTGTCTAAAGAGGAAATAAAGAACATATGCATTTGAGGTCTTTATTACCGCTTAACAAAGCAATCTTAACAAAAATTTGGAACTTCAAATAAAATAAACCTCACTTACCTTTTGATTTTATAGCAGTAAATGCTTTGTAGCCTAGTAAAACTGGAAATACAAATCCCAGTACACAGAGAAACAATATCCCTATGTGCATATTGGAAAGCCCTGTGGAGAACAATTGAAAGTTTTTAAAAATATAATTTAATTATGTCATTCATATATCATTCTAGTTGCTGTTTGCATGCCTAGTTGTATAATCTTTAATGCATGCATCGTGATACACTTTTTAGGGTGAAACAAAACTGATGAAAATAAAAATTTCAGAATTTGCACTTACACATTATTTTGGCCTAAATATACACTACATAGCCAAAAGTATGGGGACAGATCTTTTAATACATATGTTAATTGAGAGCTTCATGGATTGGGTTTCCATGGCCAAGTGGCCCCACACAAGCTTAAGATCGCAATGCCAAGCGTCAGCTGGAGTGCTGTAATGCATGCATCCACTGGTCAGTGAAAACGTTCTCTGGAGTGATGAATCACACTTCGCTATCTGGCAGTCTTGTGTTTAGTGTGGAAGAACTTGATTGGCTTGATCCATCCAACATCATGACCTGACCTCTTTAATGCTCTTGTGGCTGAATAGGAGTGAATACCTGTAGACATGTTTCAAAATGTAATGTATAGCCCCTCAGAAGTATAGAGGTAGTTACTACAGCAAATGGGGAACAAACTCTATTTTAACACCCATTTTAGAATGAGATGTTCAATACGCACACACCAATGTGATATTTGGGTATTCACATACTTTTTGCTATAAATTGTGTGCCAGGCGCCCGCCCTCAGGCTCCGATGATGGAGCCAAGAACTGGTGCAAAAGCGCAGCCTGAACCCCAAGCGCAGATGACAGTCCACGATCACAGCGGGGGAGGACGTTAACCATGAGGGCTTGGTGGAGTCCCGAGCCCTGACTCCTGGGCACCGCCTCCAGTCCTGCCTCTCCCCTCCCTGCTCCCAAGGACGTCAGTGCAGCCCCACCTACTGCTTCATTCCTAGTCATAATATGGCGCTGTTCACACAAACTTAACGGAAATCTTTTTACTCACATGTTGTCTCTGTAATTAACATTTACCCTCTGGAACTTTTACTCAATTTTGACAATCTAGAGTTTATGGAGCTTTGTAGTTAACAGACTACATCGATAACATTTTTAAGTTTGAATCTTTGTTGAAAGAGTCACTGTAAAATGACTATTTTCAAGTCTTTTAAATGTCTGTTTAAGCTATTGCTTTCATAAAATGTTAACATTGTAAGGGGTGTTTGTGGAAATTAGCATTATCATGTTAGCAATCAGATAAGTGGTCTTTGATCATGCTAAAAAAGTAAAAAAATTAATTCAAGAATTCAAAAAATTCTTATCCATTTTCGGAGTGTAGTCATTACTCTTGAAATTGTACACATTCCTTAGTGTATTTATATAGACTATATATATTTGGTATATTCCAAAGCATAATACTTTGTATTTTGCAGTTTATAAGTATTCAGACAGGATGTATGTGCTAGTAAACAGAAGTTAAAATATGAACCAAAAAACAACTTGTGAGTAAAAAGATTTCCATTAAGTATGTGTGAACAGTGCCATATTAAGACTACGAATGAAGCAGTTTACTGGGAGTAAACCATGTGGGCAAAATATAGTCTGAACAGCAATAATTTACCACCATGGTCACCACACTGGTCTTATCGTAATGCTAAACCCTTCTGGACAAATAATGACTTAGGACTGCTGCATTCTTCTACAACCTCATTTCCAAAAAAGTTGGGACGCTGTGAAGTTCAATGATGTGCAAATCATTTAAACCCTATATTTCATTGAAAATGCTTCAAAGACAACATATTAAATGTTCAAACTGAGAAATTTTATTGTTTTTTGGAAAATATATGCCCATTTTTAATTTGATGCCAGCAGCACGTTCCAAAAAAGTTGGGACGGGGGCAACAAAAGGCTGGTAAAGTCATGTAATGCTTAAAAAACACCTGGTGGTTAATTGGCAACAGGTCAATAACATGATTGGGTATAAAATGAGCATCCCAGAGAGGCTGAGTCTTTCAGAAGTAAAGATGAGGAGGGTTCATCACTCTGTGAAAGACTGCATGATCAAATAGTGCAACAATTCAAGAATAACGTTTCTCAACATAAAACAGCAAAGAACTTTTGCTTTTCATCATCTACGGTACATAATAACATTAAAAGATTCAGAGATTCAGAGAAATCACTGTGTGCAAGGGACAAGGCCAAAAACAAGTATTTGCTGGCCGTGATCTTTGGGCCCTCAGGCAGCACTGCATTAAAAACAGACATGATTCTGTAGTGGAAATCACTGCATGGGCTCAGAAACACTTCTGAAAACCACTGTCTGTGAAAACAGTTCATCACTGCATCCACAAATGCAAGTTAAAACTCTTAAACGCAAAGAAGAAACCATATATAAACAGGATCCAGAAACGCCGCCGCCTTCTCTGGTCCTGAGCTCATTTAAAATGGACTGAGGGGAAGTGGAAAAGTGTCTTGTGGTCCGACAAATCAAAATTTGAAATCTTTTTCATCATGGACACTGTGTCCTCTGGGCTAAAGACCACTCAGCTTGTTATCATTGCACAGTTCAAAGCCAGTATTCATGATGGTATAGGAGTGCATTAGTGCACATGGCATTGGTGACCTGCACATCTGTGAAGGCACCATTAATGCTGAATGATATATACAGGTTTTGGCAACATATGCTGCCATCCAGATGATGTCTTTTTCAGAGAAGGCATTGCTTATTTCAGCAAGACGATGCCAAACCACATTCTGCATGTATTACAGCAGCATTGCTCCATATTAAAAGAGTCTGGGCACTAAACTGGCCTGTCTGCAGTCCAGACCTGTCACCATTGAAAACATTTGCCGCATTATAAAATTAAAAATACAACAAAGGAGACCCTGAACTGTTGAGCGGCTGAAATCCTATGTTAAGCAAAAATGGGAAAACATTTTACTTTCAAAACTACAGCAATTGGTCTCCTCAGTTCCCAAATGCTTAGAGAGTGTTGTTAAAGAAGAGGTGATGAAACACAGCGGTAAACCTGCCCCCGTCCCAACTTTTTTGGAACGTGCTGTTGACAACAAATTCAAAATGGGCAAATATTTTTCAAAAAAACAATAAAATTTCTCAGTTTCAACATTTGATTTGTTGTCTTTGTACTATTTTCAATGAAATATGGGGTTTAAATGATTTGCACATCATTGAACTTTGTTTTTATTTACATTTTGCACAGCATCCCAACTTTTTTAGAAATGGGGTTGTAATATAGATTTCTCTCCCCAGCAAATAATTATGTAAGCTACAGCACTACATGCTTTGCATAATATATAAAAATGTTGACTTACCCAGCTGCAGCACTTCCACAGCTGTGTTAGCTGAAAACTCCCCAGCAAATACTTCACATATGTAATGGCCTTTGTCCTCAGTTCGGAGATCCTTTAATCTAAGTGAAAAATTTCCTTTCTGGATTTCTTCAGGGCTGAAGAACTCAATTCTGTCTCTGTATCTCTCTGAGGTTGATTCTGTCTGGACCTCACCGTTTAGGAAGATCACCAATAAAATGTCTTGATCCACTTTTTTCCATGAGACCTCTTCAAGCTCTTTAGGTGGGATATGGGAGTCTACAGAGCAATTCATAGTGATGTCCTCACCCACAGATGCAGATACGACATGACCTCCAGTCACAATTAAACGCTCTGAAAGAAGAATCAAATGCAGAATTATCCCCTCCACAAATGTAGGTTGGGGTTCATGGCTTGGAAATGTTGAGATTATTATTGCATAATTACTACATAATTTTCTCTCATATTTGTACATCTTTAGAAGTATTGTTAGTTTAGTTACATTTGAATGTAGCCAAAACACAGCAGAATTATAAGTGTATTTGATATTTCATTTTTTTAAAAATCATGCATAAGCCTGTGTAAGGTCCACTTCGTGCAACGATGCAGAATTTTTCAAGAGAGAATTAAGAAGCATCTAAAAATCTTTCTCCGCCCATCCATACATAAAACTTTATTAAAACTTTAAGACCTTTGGTCAAAATTCTCTCAGTGTGTTTCATTCTAACACCAGTACTGTTAGAGTTAGCAATTGTAGTTTTGAATTTGAATTCATATAGTCATGTATTTCAAATGTTTATAAACATAATTCATTTTGACTCAGCAGGTTTTCAGTGATTTTCTATGTACAGAGAAATGTGCCAGACTTCTTGTCTATGATAATGTGCAATACAATACAAATGAGACAGATAAAGGTTAGGCTGAAAAAGGCTGTAACATTTCTTTAATATATCTCAACTCTGAATGGTTTGGCAATGGATTCGGCTAATGAACTGAGCTTAACCATTAAGGACAGGGGTGCATGACTCCGGTACTGGAGGGCCGGTGTCCAGCACAGTTTGGTAGTTCCTCAACTCAAACACACCCACTACACCTGGCGATTAACAGAGGACCCGCATCAGGTGTGTTTGAGTAGGCAAATCATCAAACTGTATTGAACACCAGCCCTGGTTGTGCATCCCTTTACAGTCAAAAATACCTTTCTGCAGACCATTATTTAATCTATGTTGCAAAATTAGAATCACTCACCAATCTCCTTTATTTCAACCAATGTGTGACCAGTATCCTGTTGTCTGTAAATGGTACACTTGTAAACTCCTGCATCTTTATTGACCAGATTTGTAAGGAGGAGAGAGAAGTTTCCACGCTTGACCTCCTCGGTAAAGAAACTGGCTCTTCCACTGTAAGCCTGGTCCTGAGCCTCTGGTTGACTTTCTCCATCTTGAAACAAATGCACTAAAGTTTCAGAGTCTGTTCTCTTCCACTCCACTTCCAGCTCTTCCAGTGGTATGGGGGCTTCAACATAACAGGGCAGCATCACTGAGCCCCCCAGCTCCATAATCAGAAGATCAGAAGGGCCGAGAACATGGAGCCCTGAAAGAAAAGCAAACACAGTGAGATGAGTAATATTTCACAATATACACTGCCAGAGAAAAGAGCACTGTCCAGGTAAATTTTAGTACCTCAAAGTGCAAACAATGTGAATGTACTCTCAGAGGTATTATATGATCCTTAAGGTCCAACTGTTTAAATGTACATTCACATTCCCAGTGGAGAGGAACTCAACATTTTAAATAGAAGAATAATACAAAATGCCAGGAGTCGGTATGGGATGTATGGAGTCAATGCAACTTAAAAAATACATAACTGCAACAGCATATGGTACAACAGGTACAGTTTTTTCTCAGAGAGTGTATCTGAATGATCATGACTTCCGCTGTATTACATGGTGTGAGCAGTCACCAATTTGGGTGTTGTCCGTTTAGGCAAAGTAGGCCTACAATGTGTTTTCAAGCAAAATCTGCAAACCACTTCCCTCTCTTTACTTTCTTTTTCTTCAAAAAACACACTTTGGGAATATAAAACACACCCTTGGAATTTTTTTTTAATGCAAAATCTGCATTAACCGCTTCTCTTTCTTTACCTATGTTTTCTTCAAATAGACATAAACATGTATAAAACACATCCTTTGCCTTTTAATGAAAAATCTGCAGTAACCATGCCTCTTTCTTTACTTTCATTTTCTTCAAGGGGATAAAAAAGCACTTTTCGATCATGAAACACACCCTACTCCTCTAGCTTTAATATGCATGTCTATTAGCTACTAAGTCAAAATGTACTTAATGTGACACATTGATGAGTGTTTATATTTTACTTGTAGGTTGTAATGGCTGACAATGTGCGTTTCGCAATTAAAACCGGTTTTATAGACCATTTTATAGACAAATACTGTATTACTGTGTCTCAGAGAGAGCATTTAAGGTCATGTTTTGAAGAGAGCAGAAGGCGGAGACGCACCGTGTGCTTCGTTATTTTAGCTGAATTTGACTGAATTCTACATTAGGCTCAAACACCAAAACAGCTTTACAATAAATATGAGCGCAAACCAACAGTGTTTAAATCTCTGCTTACCGGCACAGATGAACAGAACTCCTGATAGAAAAAAAAAAATATTTAATCCCATCTTCACATCTGAGAGGATTACGGTTCTGCATGAAAACATTTCACTTTCACTTCTCAGACAGCACTAAAGCAGTAGAAACAGTTTTAATGGCGCAGGAATCACTCTGTTCTACTGATTTTAGAGTGATAAACACTGAACTGCATTTCTACAGCTGTACTGATCTAAAACTGCATCTTTAGATGTATTCATTTAGTTTTCTGTGCTGCAATAGAAGCTCTATTGCTTGTATCGAGTTCCTTGAAGCTGCATTATCATTGTTCTGGTTCATTGTTCTGCTCCATCAGTTAAATTTGGGGGAGGTGCATAAAGTTGCCACGCATTTCAGCTGTTTGCGAGATGAGCTGGTTGTGCCAGGCAAAGCTGCCAGGTAGTTGTATGTTCTGTCAGTGATGGCCATACTGGCTATTTTCAGTGAGTCAGATCGGTTGGCTCAGCTCACATATAAGAGTCGACTCTCTCGGTTTTAAGGTGTCAATTAGCCTTGGGGGCTTTTTTTTATATTGATTTGCCTTTATATATCCATGTACAATCTTTCTGATCTATCATTCTGGGCTCCTCCTTACCATTTAGGAAAATGAACAGCAGCTGTGTTCTTGTAATATATTGTAGCATTTTCAAGGGATTTCAATGAAACATCGATGGCGGTGTCCATGAACAGCATTTATCAGGCCTTCTTGCAGAGCTGTGGAGTCAAGTGTGTCACCATTGCCGGTGTGGGCAGAGGTGATGACAGAAACATATCCAAGGGTTGACCACAGCCAGACATCCCAGTGGCGCAACGCTGTTGGTGCTGGATGTGGAGCCAGCTGGGACATCTGACTAGGGCTTGTCTGCTGGCCATGCCCGCAGCCATACCACAAGTGGCACGGGACTGCCACTGGTGCAGGACATGCCACCAGACGAGACATCTGGCTAGGATTTGTCCATTGGGGGTGAAGTCAGCGGGCAAGAATGAAAAGAACAGGGCAGGCAGCAACCAAACAGTGGGCATGGTGAGGGGAATGTCCATAGCAGACTTCTGCCACATTTCCATTGACATCAGGTCAACAGGCACAGCGGCCCAGCCAGAAGTGGTACCTGCCGGTTCCGAGCTGGAAGGCACAGCATTTCATCTCTGCACTGTGACCAGTGTGCTGGCGCCAATCTTGGGGAGGGGATGGCTGATGCTGACAGTCAGAGGCAGGAAGATGCGCCATTTAGTCTGGATAGTAGAAGTCCAAGATGTGCATTCTAGGCCTAGACTTTTTGAGAAGCAACAGGTGCCAAATGGACCTAGACAGTCACAATGAAGCCACCTTGGCCCAGTGCATCGTGCAACGTGCAGCATCAGAGCTGTGAGCTGTGTAGTTCCGCCACACCCAAAAGGAGGACACAGAGCTGTTTGTGCGTTGCTGACCAGTATGCGGTAATTAAAAAAGGCAGCCGCAGCCGTTGCATGCAGAGCTGTTTGTGCATTGCTAACCAGTATGCAGTTAATAAAAAAGACCGCCATAACAGTCACATGCCCTGCTTTGGTCTGTCCACTCAGGTGCACAGATGGAGTGGATGCCACGGAGTTGGTGTTTATCTGCCTGCCATCACCAGTCAGTATGGATGGTTCCCCAGCCAAGGGGGTCCCCCTCCCCAGCGAGCCCTAGGGGAAGGAGGCAGCCCCCAGTTTAGTTCAAAGACTTGGTCAGGGGGGTAGTGTAGCGAGAAATGTGTTTTACATGTTTATTGTGGGTATTGTTCTCCTGCAGTTATTCTCTGGGTTTATTCTGACAAAGACTTAATGTGAAGGTAGGGCTGACCACAAAGCTGTGTTTAGGAAGTACTGGGTGTGTTGGAGCTGAGCGCTGATAGAGTGCAGACATGAGCTGAGTGTAGAGCTTAGGCTTACAGTGAACTGTTAGCAAAACTCTCTTTGTGTATAGTGTGGCTGTGGCCAACCACAGCTGGTTAGTAAAGCACAATGACTTGTGCAAATTTGAAACAAGTTATTTCAAAGCAATTTTCTTTTTCAATATGGCTGAGGTGTCTAAAAAATGAATGCTAGTTTATAAATCACACTTACATCAGCTAGAAGCTGCCATTTTGGTCTCTGTTTGTTTTATGATTCCATTTGTGTTTTCGGTTTAGGAATTGGGTAATATTTTATTCTCCAGACTCTTGGGATGTCTGGTATCTAAAATTGCTACGTTCCACAAAGCTACAGCACAGTGTGAAAGCTCTGAGTGTGTGCCAGTGCACGCCTAGTGAGGTTAGGTGTGGTCTGAGTATTCTTCAGAGAGCTTGGTAAAATGATACTCCGCTATGAAGTTCCTCATAGGTGACACTAATTTGGTAGATTTTGCCAGCTCTGCCTATTTGTCATGGTATGTGCACTGTGACGCCACTTCTTCCTTGTAATTGTTGATAAAGGCACGATTTGATCTGGCCAGGTTACAAGGCAGGTTTTTTGCCATAAACAAGTCTCTTCCCTGTCTTTACTTTTGTTTTCTTCAAATGGACAAAAAACACACTCTGTTTAAGAAACACACTTCAGGTAGAAATAAGCAGAAAAATAAAAGATTTATAAGTAAAAAAGTAATATAAAATACAAAGAGTCAATACGGGATGTATGGAGTCAATGCAACTTAAAAATATAGGTGCAACAGAATTTGGTACAGTTTATTCCCTCACTAAAGATAATGAAGTCATACCACCCCAGTGACAGCATTTGCACCCTGACAGGTAAAGTTTTTCTCAGAGAGTGTATGTAAATGATCATGACTTCTGCTGTATTACATAGTGTGGGCAGTTGCCAATTTGGGTGTTGTCCGTTAAGGCAAAGTAGGCCTACAATGTGTTTTCAAGCAAAATCTGCAAACCACTTCCTGCTCTTTACTTTGTTTTTTCTTCAAAAAACACACGTTGAGAGTATGAAACACACCCTTGGAAAAAAAAATTTATGCAAAATCTGCATTAACCACTTCTCTTTCTTTACCTATGTTTTCTGCAAATAGACATAAACATGCATAAAACACATCCTTTTCTTTTTAATGAAAAATCTGCATTAACTACTTTACTTTCTTTACTTTCATTGTCTTTAAAATTATAAAAAAAAGCACTGGGATTATAAAACACACCCTGGTCCTCCAGCCTTAATATGCATGTCTTTGAGCTGCTGAGTCCAAATGTACTGAACGTGACACGTTAATGACTGCTTACACTTTCAGGTTATAACGGCTGAAAATACGCGTTTCGCAATTAAAACCCGTTTTTTTCTCCGAGCGTTTCTCTTCGTCTCGAATGGCATTTTATGCGCAATAACTGTATAACTGTGTCTCAGAGAGCGCATTAAATAGCATTTAATATAATGTTACTGTAGTACTGTGTCTCAGAAAGGGCATTTAAGGTCATGTCTTGAGGAGAGCAGAAGGCGGTGACGCATCGTCTGCTTTCTTAGATTAGCCTGAATTCTACATTAGACTGTTCACAGAAGCAGCTCAACAGTAAATATAAGCGAAAATGAAGAGTGTTTAAATCACTACTCACCGTCACAGATGAACAGAACTCCTAACAGAAAAAGACAAATTATTAATCCCATCTTCACATCTGAGAGGAACACGGCTCTGTGTGAACCCATTTCACTTTCACTTCTGGCGGTGGGCGGGACAAAGAAGGCGGCTGTCAATCTTGGCGACTCGAACCAATCACATAACAGCTACCAAACTCTAACGAGCCAATCACCAACAGGAATACGGCACTAAAGTAGTAGAAACAGGTCTAACAGCGCAGGAATCGCTCAGTTTTACTGATTTTAGGGTGATAAACACTGAACTGCGTTTCTACAGCTGTACTGAATTAAACTGCAGTGCTGCGCATATTTAGATGTATTAATTTAGTTTTATGTGCTGCAATAGAATCTCTGTTGCTTGTATCGAGTTCCTTGAAGCTGCATTATTATTGTTCTGGTTCCGGCATCAGTTAAATCTGGGGGAGGTGCATAAAGTTGCCACCCATTTCAGTTGTTTTCGAGACGAGCTGGTTGTGCCTGGCAAAGCTGCCAGGTGGTTGTATGTTCTGTCAGTGATGGCCATACTGGCTATTTTCAGTAAGTCAGATCATTTGGCTCAGCTCACAAATAAGAGCCGACTCTCTTGTTTTAAGGTTTCAATTAGCCTTGGGGGCAATAATTGATATAGAATATTGTGATCATTTTGATAAGCGTCCATATTATGCAAGTTATCTTTCCTTTTTATACTGGTTTGCCTTTATATACCCATGAACAACCTTTCTGATCATTCTGAGCGCCTGGGCTCATCCTTACCATTAAGGAAAATGAATAACAGCAGCTGTGTTGATGTAATATATTGTAGTATGTTTGAGGAATTGTAAACAATGATGGCGGTGTCCATGAACAGCATTTAGCAGGCCTTCCTGCAGAGCTGTGGAGTCAAGTGTGTCACCATTGCCGGTGTGGGCAGAGGTGATGACAGAAACATATCCAAGGGTTGACCACAGCCAGACATCCCAGTGGCGCAACGCTGCTGGTGCTGGATGTGGAGCCAGCTGGGACATCTGATTAGGGCTTGTCCGCTGGCCATGTCCACAGCCATACCACAAATGGCACGGGACTGCCACTGGTGCAAGACATGCCGCCAGACGAGACATCTGGCTAGGATTTGTCCATTGGGGGTGAAGTCAGCAGGAAAGAATGAAAAGAACAGGACAGGCAGCGACCAAACAGTGGACATGGTGAGGGGAATGTCCACAGCAGACTTCTGCCATATTTCCATTGACATCAGGTCAACAGTTACAGCGGCCCAGCCAGAAGTGGTACCTGCCGGTTCCAAGCTGGAAGGCACAGCATTTCATCTCTGCACTGTGACCAGTGTGCTAGCGCCAATCTTGGGTAGGGGATGGCTGACGCTGACAGTCAGAGGCATGAAGATGCGCCATTTAGTCTGGATAGTAAACGTCCAAGATGTGCATTCTAGGCCTAGACTTTTTGAGAAGCAACAAGTGCCAAATGGACCTAGACAGTCACAATGAAGCCACTCGAGGCCCAGTGCATCGTGGAACATGCAGCATCAGAGCTGTGAGCTGTGTAGTTCTGCCACACCCAGGAGGAGGACACAAAGCTGTGTGTGCGTTGCTATGACCATTATGCTGTTAATAAAAAAGACCGCCACAGCAGTCACACGCCCTGCTTTGGTCTGTCCACTCAGGTGCACAGATGGAGTGGATGCCATGGAGTTGGTGTTCATCTGCCTGCCATCACCAGTCAGTATGGATGGTTCCCCAGCCAAGGGGGTCCCCCTCCCCAGCGAGCCCTAGGAGAAGGAGGCAGCCCCCAGTTTGGTTCAAAGACTTTTGGTCAGGGGGGTAGTGTAGCGAGAAATGTGTTTTACGTGTTTATTGTGGGTATTGTTCTCCTGCAGTTATTCTCTGGGTTTATTCTGACAAAGACTCTTAATGTGAAGGTAGGGCTGACCACAAAGCTGTGTTTAGGAAGTACTGGGTGTGTCGGAGCTGAGCGCTGATAGAGTGCAGACATGAGCTGAGTGTACAGCTTAGGCTTACAGTGAACTGTTAGCAAAACTCTCTTTGTGTACAGTGTGGCTGTGGCCAACTACAGCTGGTTAGTAAAGTACAATGACTTGTGCACATTTGAAACAAGTTAATTCAAAGCAATTTTCTTTTTCAATATGGCTGAGGTGTCTAAAAAATGAATGCTAGTTTATAAATCACACTTACACCAGCTGGAAGCTGCCATTTTGGTCTCTGTTTGTTACGTGATTCCATTTGTGTTTTCAGTTTAGGAATTGGGTAATACTTTATGGATGTCTAGTATCTACAATTTCTGCATTCCACAAAGCTGCAGTATAGTGTGAAAGTTAACTCTAAACATATAGACCTAGTCTTTGACAAATCACAGTTGAAAATTCTTTTTAGGCTTAGCCTTAATCTGGGTGAAAATGTGGATTTGGCAGTTAAACATCATTTTTTTCAACTACTCAAATCTGGATTTCAGTGCAGCTCTGTTGGAGTTTTTTCTGAAGCTGCATTTGAAATCCAGAATTCTGGATGAAAATTATGAAAGCGTTCAATATTTGGCTGTATTTTTTGGTTATATTTGGCTGTTCCCTTCACCTTGACCCTAAGACATATGTACTGAGTGAGAAGAAGGTACCTTCTTTCTGTTTTATCACTTTCAGTAATTCAATACCATTATTTTCACCATGTGAACAGTGCGTTCCCATCAACCCGGGAGGAGTTACCTATTTTATTTTGGCAAATACATCTACTGCAAATGCTTTTACACAGTGCTGAGTGCTGTTATGTTGGATTTCTGATGAAAGTCCATCATCCAGTTGGTTCAAACTGTTTGAATGTCAATGATTTCCACAAATTTAAAGAATAAACTTGGGTTCAACATGAACTCTTTCCCTGCCAGCTGCCTTTTTAACTCCTCCCCTGACTACTGACCATAACAAGATAAGGCTAAATTTGAACAGGCCCTCATGCTACCAGCAAGTACCAACAAGCAATGTGATTGGCTGGACTAGATTACACTACAGATTAGACCATTGACGTGCCAAAGGGTTTGAATGTGAAAGTAGACGAAGGCCATATCAAGTACATTTGTTCACTGAATTTCTGAACATCAGCCTACCGGGAAAAGCTATTTTCAATGCTGCTGTCTAGACTCGTCTGGGTTTTACTTACCATGGACAATCAGGCAGTCATTAATATCAAACCCTGATAAACACCTATTCTTCAAAATCTGAAACTCATTCTCAGAGTATCTCATCCTGAACAGTCACAAGCTCTAATGTCAGGCTAAACTGGTTTAACAAGGAAACCAGCCAGTGAGTAAATGATCAAGCATACATATGCATAAACAGGGTTGGACAAAACACTGAAGAAGTATGAATACATGTTCAGAATGCTTTTAAATATATGTACAATACGTACAATACTTGTTAAGGCAAATGGGAAAGTCTTTTTTTAAAGACTTTCCCATTTGCCTTAACAAGTAAGTCTTAATTCACACTGTTCCTCGCTGTTACTGGTTGGCCCCGGCCCCGACGATGGGCTCACGCTGCCTTTAATGAGAGCCAGCTGATGCTGATCTGGCTGGCAGCGTGAGCGCCTTTTAAAAGAGCTGAGAGGGAACAGAGCGAGAAGAGGCGGCCGTCATCGTCGGGGCCGGCGTTCATGGTTTCCAAAAAGAATTTCAAATTTTGATTCATCTGACCACAGAACAGTTTTCCATTTTGCCTCAGTCCATCTTAAATGAGCTTTGGCTCGCCGCTCCGCCTCCTCGTCACCGCCCCTAGCTGGCAGCTCAGCCGCCCGGGTCGAACGTGAGGTGTAGTGAAGCGGCCTCGCTGCGTAACAGGGGGCGGGCCCAGGCGGCGGAGCTCGGGACTCGCTCCTTGCCCTCGTGCCTCTCGTTACCGGCACCGTCGTCGTCTTCCTCCTCCTCCCACCGTTACTCGCGTCACTCGGGTTACTCGGAGGAGCTCGGGCTTTGCGCTCCTCTCCCTGCCGTCCTGGCCGAGGTTCGTTGCCGCTGGGTGTTCGAGCCCCGCCTTCCTGCCGGCTCTCGCGGACGTCATCGTCGGGGCCCGGGGGGAGGGCACATGCCACAGCCGTGTTCTGCGGACTCAAGAGGAGAGGGACCGTCCAGCTTGTTATCAGCGCACAGTTCAAAAGCCTGCATCTCTGATGGTTTGGGGTTGCATTAGTGCTTATGGCGTGGGCAGCTTACACATCTGGAAAGGCACCATCAATGCTGAACAGTATATAGAGGTTTTAGAACAATATGTGCTCTCATCCAGACCACGTCTCTTTCAGGGAAGGCCTTGAATATTTCAGCAAGACAATGCTAAACCACATACTGCAGCCATCACAACGGCATGGCTTCGCAGAAGAAGAGTCCGGGTGCTGAACTGGCCTGTCTGCAGTCCAGATCTTTCACCAATAGAAAACATTTGGCGCAGCATGAAATGAAAAATCCAGCAAAGAAGACCCAGGACTGTTGAGCAGCTAGAATCCTACATCACACAAGAATGGGACAACATTCCTCTCCCAAAACTCCAGCAATTGGTCTCCTCACTTCCCAGACATTTACAGACTGTTGTTAAAAGAAGAAGGGAGGCTACACAATAGTAGACACGGTTCTGTCCCAACTTTTTTGAGATGTGTTGCTTCCATTAAGCTCTAAATGAATTAATGTTTTTCATGAAATGGTAAAATGTCTCACTTTCAACATCTGATATGTGTTCTATATTCTACTGTGAATAAAATATGGGTTTATGAGATTTGCAAATCATTGCATTCTGTTTTTATTTACATTTATTTACATTTTACACAGCATCCCAGCTTTTTTGGAATTGGGCTTGTACATGGTTGTAGCAGCTTTTAATATTAGTACAATATCTTCTTATTTGCCATCGACAAGTCATATTTACGAAATGTCTAAGAGTAAGAACACTGATCCAATATCTTAATAGTTCAATTCTATTCAGTTTTACTTTAACAGTGTTTGCAGTACTCAGCATTCTTACGCTTAGACTTTAGACAATTTGATAAATAAGGGTCAGAATTATTAAACTGATAGGTATTATTTGTCTTTGTCTTATTTTCTGCTATGCTCACCATGAAAATCAGTACTAAAGATTCAGATTATAGAGGAATGCAGTGTAGCCACTGATTGCCTCAAAGGTTTAGACTGGATAGCCTACACTGGCACTTTGTCAGACCTAAACAGCTCTAGAATAAATTTTAATGGAAATAAGTATTGAGTAAAGCATTCCTTACTGTCACAGAAAATTAGGACTCCTGAGAGAAAAAGGCAAAGTTGAGCAACTGTCAAAAGGCTGTTTTGTTCTATGCATGTCATGAAGGTTTACAACATAGTGATGGCCATCAAAAGCGGCCAGCAAAAGTTAGTGATACTATGACTATCATTGTTTGTTTGTGTCACTTTATAACATTAGCTGTATTTGGTCAAAATAAAATTATAGTAAATCTTAATGTCCAACATTTGCCCCTAGACACATCACCATATCTGGAGTTTTCTGCTCAGAATATATCCATGGAAAAAACATAATCACGCTGGCTAGAACTGAAAACTTGAGGTAATGGTGGATAGCAACGGTTGTTAACTTTTTATGTGCACAATTTTACTGCTTTCTTGTTAAATTATTGGCTGTTTCATCTTCTCTTGATAGGGACCTTGAGCCTTAGCAAAATAAATAAATAAATAAATAAAATTTTTTAAATGAAAAATAGAAAGGGCACTACAGAAATCAAGGGGCAAAGGGGCAGTCCTTCCCTCTGCACCCATACACATGCAGAGTGAAGTCTCCAGTGTCCTGCCTCAATGACCATCCTGTTGCACTCACTCCCATCATCATGAAGAGCTTTGAGAGGCTTGTCATTTGGCACATTAAAGACCAGCTCCCCCTTTCACTGGATCCATTGCAGTTTGCGTATCGCCCCAACCGCTCAGGAAACGACGCCATCTCCACCACACTCCACATGGCTCTCATTCACCCGGACAATAGAGACACCAATGTCAGAATGCTGTTTATAGACTTTAGTTCAGCATTCAACACCATCATCCCTCAGCAGCTGATTAGAAAACTGAGCCTGCTGGGCCTGAACACCTTCCTCTGTAGCTGAGTCCTGGATTTCCTGACTGAGAGACCTCAGTTAGTCAAAATCAGTAACAACATCTCCAGCACCACCATACTGGGCACCGGTGCCCCTCAGGGCTGTGTGCTTAGTCCACTGCTGTTCACTCTACTGACTCGTCACTGTACTGCGAAGTACAGCTCAAACTACATCATCAAGTTTGCTGATGACACAACTGTGGTGGGTCTGATCAGCAAGAATGATGAGTCAGCGTACAGAGAGGAGGTGCAGCGGCTAACAAAATGGTGCAGAACCAACAACTTGTGTCTGAATGTAGACAAAACTAAAGAGATGGTTGTTAAGTCCTGAAGAGTGCGAGGTGACCACCCCCCACTGAACATCGCTGGCTCTGCTGTGGAAATCGCCAGGAGCACCAAGTTCCTCTGTGTCCACATCACAGAGAACCTCACCTGGTCCCTCAACACCAACTCCATAGCCAAGAGAGCCCAGCAGCGCCTCTACTTCCTGCGGAGACTGAAGAAACCTCACCTCCCCCCTCCCATCCTCACCATGTTCTACAGGGGGACTGTGGAGAGCATCCTGAGCAGCTGCATCATCGCCTGGTTTGGGAATTGCACCTCCTCTGACCGCAAGACCATTTACACCACACACTGCATCCACAAAGACACCAGCATCGTGAACGACCCCATCCATCCCTCACACAGACTTTTCTCACCGCTGCCGTCTGGCAGAGGTACCGGAGCATCCGTGCCATCACTGCCAGACTCTGCAGCAGCTTTGTTCCTCAAGCAATCAGGTTTTTAAACTCACAAGGCCTAAACTGAAAACCCCCTCACATACATATTCTAAACTCACACACACACAAACACACACACACACATTGATGCTCTACTTGCGTCTGGAACATTGCTGCTAACACTGTGTTTTACTCAAGTACTGTGTATATCCTACCTCAGTAACTGCTGTGCTCGCGTATGTCATAATCTGACTGGGTATTTAAGCAATAGTACACGAGAGGGAGTGTGTTATCGTGAAATAACATGTTATGTTGATGTTATTCGCGATAACACACAACCTCGAGTGTTCTATTGCTTTTATACAACAGTTAAATAAATAAAGTAATCAATAAATAAACTGGGCCGTGAACGTGGCATTTAATATGTTTTAATGTTCGCAGTTCCTCCAAATTATAGTTCCGTAACAAGCAGCTTGTTGCTACATCAGAGTAACGAACTCCGCTCACTCGCTGCACAGTCTGCTGTGAGCCATAAAACTGCCACAATGTCAATTTTTGTCAATTTTTACTAGATCAATATTAATGTTGTTTTGTTCGAGCCAGTCTGTAAAGCATTTTACAGCCCATTTTGTTTGGCGAATGGTATTCGGTTCATTTCTGGCTGTCTCAGCGGAGTGATACAGTGTTTTTGAAAAAACGTGATTTTATGGTGAAATAACAGCACGGTTAGAGCGCTTCTCAACCAATCAGCTTGCATGGCCGGAACTAACTGTTGTATAACTCACATATCACAACATGTTAAATATCTCTGCACCTTATTCTCACTACCTCATGTTCAGAAATGAGTGCTGTGTCGGCGCTGCACTGTCCTGTCTGTTTCCTGTGTCTAATGTCTGTTTTATTTATCGTATTTATTGTATTATTTCTAGTTTAATTTTTTTGCACACTTACGTCTGCATATTTGCACTTTGTACTGTCTATTTTGTTCCATGCTGCACCGTGTTACTGGAGGAACGTAATTTCACTCCACTGTGTACTTGCACATAGATGGAATGACAATAAAAGCCTCTTGACTCTTGACATGAAAAGGAACTAGTATACAAAAGTCTATGAAAATCCAAAATAAAGTTGCAATTTACAAAAATGGTCATGATCTAAATAATAAAAAAATAAAATAAATCAGAATTTTCCCAGCAGAGGGTATCAGATAGTAAACAGCGCAACTACAGCATCACATAAAATCACAAATAAAAAAGAAGCTCAGGCCTTGCTTACAACCCCATTTCCAAAAAGTTGGGATGTTGTGTAAAATGTAATTAAAAACAAAATTCAATGATATGCAAATCATTTAAACCTTATATTTAATTGAAAATAGTATAAAAACAACAAAACAAATATTGAAACTGAGATTTTTTTTTTTTTTTAATATTTGCCTATTTTGAATTTGATACCAACAACATGTTCGAAAAAAGTTGGGACGGGGTCATGTTTACCACTGTTTCATCACCTCTTCTTTTAATAACACTCTGTAAGCATTTGGGAATTGAAGAGACACTGCTGTAGTTTTGAAAGTGAAATGTTTTCCCGTTCTTGTTTCATATAGGATTTCAGCTGCTCAATAGTTCAGGGTCTCCTTTGTCGTATTTTTCATTTCATAATATGCAAAATGTCTTCAGTGGTGACAGGTCTGGACTGCAAGCAGGTCAGTTTAGCACCCAGGCGCTTTTACTACAAAGCCATGCTAAAAGGGGGCTAACAAAGTATGCAGAGAAACAGATGAACTACAGTCTGTAATTGTAGGACTACAAAGTGTACCGAGCTGTTTTTATTTAATCTTCAGCGCACCTTTTTGTCCAGTCATACATCTGTCATCTGTCATCAGATACCCTGGTGTCCGGTATCTTAGCTCTGTGTAGGCAGCTAAGCTACTGTTTGTCAGTTAAAACTTGGACACATTTGTTTATTTTGAGCGAATACGTTTAAAATCGACTCTTAGCCGCAGCTCACGGCCAGAAACCAAGACCACAGCTCTTATTTTGAACATTATCTGTCGAAAATGGTAAGTAAACAGCGGTTATTTGATGTTAGCCTAGCCGGCAGCTGAGCGCTGATTACCAAAGCCATTCATTCCTGCAAAAAGCTGAAAACGCACAGCCAGCCAGTATAACTTGATATAGCTCGAGGTTTTCTGTTTTCTGGGGAATCAGCTTTGCAGTGGGGTGGAACTGCTGTAATATAACTCCAATTTTGACCCGTTTTTCCTGACCAGTGCTGAATGGTGCATGTATTCGATATGGAAGCGGTTTGACGAGCCGTTGGTGAAGTGTAGCTTAGCTAGGTTAGTTAAGGTCTGAATTTTGACCAAAACTGGTTGTTGAATCATTTAAATCCCTCAGTTCATCAAAGCCGCCCACAGAATCTACATCTTGATCATCTGGTCAGGTAATTTGGACAGAATGGTCACAGTATCGAACATATATGATTAGTCACAAGGCTTTTGTAGCGTATTGTAAGAGTCAGTCTTGCAATAAAAATTCCCAGACTTTATATCGTACAGGCCTTACTTGATGTAAACAGATACCATTCATTTATGACCTGCTATTAATATCCTTAAAGAGGCAGTCCAGCCAAAATTAAAATAAAAAAAAGAGAAAAAAAAGAAAACTATTGCTACATCTGTTGTTAACATGACTACCCGCCTCCTTCAGCAGTGCTAAAGTAGTCTCAATAGTTAGACACTCTGGTTTAAAGACGAGGAAAACCACTTACTCATGATGTATCTCGAAGGTGAGAGGAACTCCTGAAAACAGATTCATGGTTGTTTCTTTTTTGGGTTTGATAGCTGGCTAATGCAGAAGGAATCTTACTGCTGAAAAGCTGAATTTCATGTCTGTAGTCAATATGTGGTACATGTCATTTCTAGGTGGATTCCCAATGGTTGTATGACATTTTTGTTCAAGCCATGCTGGGTATTGTAGTGACAGAGCAGTGACAGCCCATTGGGAGGGATTCCCAGTGGTTGTACGATGTATTTGTCATGTTGGCTGTTGTAGTGAGGGAACACTGATGGACAAAAAACACAAAATGGATAAAAAACCACAATTCTGTCAAGTCAACAAGGCTAAAGGATTCAGTGCTGCGCTACAGAATATTATATAACACGACACATAACATGTTAAATGCTAGTTTAAGGCTGGAGTGGCCCTTTAAGACTGAAACTAGCTAGACAGGTTACTTAAACAAGGTAGAGGTTTCTGTTAAAGTGGCCAGTGAGTGTAAGTTAAATACAAAGGGCACAAACCTTCTCTAAACTGGGTAATTACATAGACCTCTAAAGTCGTGTCGTCATTTTGTGGTCAGCATCATGCCCATATTAGGAATTACGAGTCTATGCAATTTTTTCAAAATACTGATGTAGCTCACCTTATTGCACTTAAATGATCTAAAGCCAGTGCATTCTGTCATTTGTACAGTCTACACTGTAGACTGGGGTTCAGTCCCCACCTGGGCAAGCACCCTATACTATACCAATAAGAGACCTTGGGCAGGACTCCTAACACTACCTTCACCTACCTGTGTAAAATGATCCAATTGTAAGTTGTTCTGGATAAGAGCGTCTGCTAAATGCCCTAAATGTCAATGTAAATGTAAAATACAAATGCCGCTACATGCTAGCCAACACTGCAGCGCATCATACTGACATCTGACATCAGAAGACTGCCAACCTTACGAAAAGACCTCATACAAACCAGCAAATGTTAAGCTTTTTGGACAGTAGTAGCCTACAGTTTGAGTGTTCTTACATAAACCTTTAGGCCCAATCCCATTTCTTATTTTTACCCCCACCCCTTGTTTTCAAGGGTCACTTTACCCCTTGGAGCTGAGTTACAATGGGCAGTGATTGAAATCTTCCTCTACAAAATGGGACCCTCAAATAAAGAAGATCATTAGTTCATTAACAGCTACTAGCGCTGCTCTGTAGGCGACTCTGCCAGTCTGCAGTGATAGCAAAGGAGGGTAAAGTTCAGCTCCTCACTGCTGGGCTTTAGTTACATTTGGGGCATCATATGTTTCCAAAGAGGGGGATGCGATAATTATTTTTTATCACCCACCCCTAATTCTTCAGTAAAATGAAGCTGAACTCAGCTATTCACCAGCTTCTTGCTTGAATTTTCCCATTCCACTATTTAAGGTGTAACAGGAAATTTAGCCAGCTAGCTACCAAGACCAGCAAACTACTAGTGAAGTTTAATGCTTGTTATGAAAAAAATGACCATGATACATTGAAATGACATTAAACTAAGACAATACAGTAGTTATCGTAATTTTTTAGCAGAGAAAATTCTCACATTTGTGGGTTTCTTTGGTCGCTTTCTCAGCTATTTTTTTCCCTCATATCACTCTGTTTGGAGTGTGTCTGAAAAACCTCAGTTTGGAGTGTCATGTAGCCCTAACACTTCACCCTACCCCAATAAACATCAGGACACCCTACCCCCAGGCATGAATGCGCAAAATGGAGGGGTAGGGCTAAGTGGTAGGGGCGAGGGGTGAAATGGGATTTAGGCCTTAATGTCTAAATAAAAAAAACATCTGCATCGGATAGATTTTAAATTTGACTGATATTTCAAACCGATCTTTAATGCCACATTTATGGCTTTTTGGAAGCAGAAGAATGTTTAGATGATGCTGGACTATTATGCTTAAATGTCTTTTTATTAATTTCATTGCATACGTAACCCTGTAGAAATAAGTCTTACATTTTTCTGCGATGCTAATCCACGTGGTCTAAATGTAGTCATTTTAGTTTACTACAGACTGCGATTCTCAAAAACGCTGTTCATTTTTTTCTATTTAAGCATAACCTAGTTAAGTTATGAAGATGCTCATTTTATGAAGATCCAAAATGCGACTGAACTTGGAATTTAAAATTGGAACCACATCTTAATGCTGTTGAGTTTCTACGGATAGTTTGTTAACAATACTTACAGTAGATCATTTAAAGTGGACTAAGTTTTTTTTTTTCCTAAAGAGAAAAACTGCTTATTTCTTATTTGGGCAAGATATCAACAACAAAATGAAACATAACTTTGGGGGTCTATTTAAGCATAACCTAGTTAAGTTACGAAGAAGTTAATTTTAGCTGGTTACGATAATAATGAGAGGCCTGTCAAATCATATCCGTTGTTGCTGAAGCTCCACATGCTCATCTCACTGCTTCATGATAGATGCTTCCACTCATTGTCGGCTTTAGGCTCTTTATCAGCTCCCTCTGGCTCGCTGTTCTTGCTGCGTTCTACCAGGGTTAGCATAAAGCTTCTGCCCCATTTCGGCTAAACCTAAAACTCTGGTTCTGTGCCCAGATTTTCCACATCCCATGGATCTATGTTCCTGTTCGGAATGTCCTAGCAATCTGGCATCAGCTGACAAAGTATGAGGTCAGATGGGTTTCTCTCTCTTTCCATCCATCTTGCTCCTTTTCCATCTTGCTGTTTCCCCAAAACCAGCATTCTGTCTTTCCCTGGGCTCTTTTTCTTCCTCGCTCGCACTTTAACCTCTTTTGTGTGTGGCCTTCTGTAGCTCAAACACAAGTGATTCTGAAGGTGATGGTAGCCCTAATAACAGTACCAGTACCAGCACTGGGCTCAGAACTAGTACTGAAGTGCAGGGTATTGTAGGTACTGCAGAAGAGATGGGTGATATGGCAAAAATATAATATTGTGATGCTTCCGGAAATTTTCACGATACTAAAAATATCAATGTATTTTTTAGATATTTGATCAGTTGGAGCAGAGAAAAAAGAACAAGTAGTGCTACATTGTTTAAAAACACTATCAAAAACTTTGAACACAATAATTTTTGTTCAATATTTTGCATAGTGTTGCACTACATCCAGTTAAATGGAACTAATTATGCTCTCTTTATAATGAAACAAGTATTGATAATTAGATCAGTGTGTTCCGAAAAGCATATTGTATTATATTGTGACACAATTTGTCACAGTAACAATATATATATATTGTCATATTGCCCAGCCCTGTTATATGGTGCTGTGTTCACTTTGTAGTGACATTGATAACCTGCTGTACATCATATTTCATTGTCCAGTTTACTGTTGATAGAAAAAGGACAGTATAAATGCCAAGCGTCCGCACGTAGAGTAGGCAGTAAAAGTTGCCAGTAGCACCTTATTTTTGTAGTCCGCTGTAGAATCTTTGTAGATGCGCTTCTGGTCTTCAGCTGTTATTCAAATAGATACCTGATGACGCACTGAGCATTCTCTCGCGAGACTCCTAAAAGTTCTGAAAGTGATACATTTACTCCGACTTATCAACTTGTCGTCCTGGAATCCCTCGAGGAATACATCGACCACCACTACTACAACGTTGTCATCATGAATAAGGACAAAAAAGAAGATAAAACCAAAAGGTAAACAACTCCAAACACCCACCGGTAAACGACCCCGACCACCCAGCTCACCGGGAGACACAGAAGAGCCAACTTCACCAACATGCTGCACAGAGGTCAGTCCTATCCTGCTCTCCATTAACAGTGAACTCTCAGCACTAGATGATGGACTATCCCTGGTTGAAATACTTCACAAAGAATTCCAAGCAATCCGTGAAAGTTTAGAGTTCAGCCAGGAACAAATCTTGACACTAACTAAAGAAAACAACACTGCAGCACACCGTCAGCGAACTCACAACCCAAATATAATCAGTCATGAAAGACAACAAACAAATGAAAGAAACAATCTTGGACTTACAGGCACGTAGTATGAGAGACAACATTGTCTTCTCTGGCATTCCCGAACACACACCGGAAAACCCCGAAGATCTCCTAAAGGATTTCATGGTCACTAAACTCAAAATTTCATCGGAATTAGCCTCATCTGTTAAATTTCTCGGTGCACACCGATTAGGAGGGAAAAAACAGATAAACAAGCTAAAGTCGAACACTGTAAACACAAAGAGCTCATCATGAGTAAAGGAAGAGAACTCAGAGGCACACATTTCAGAATTAATGACCAGTTTCCACGGGAAATACTGGACAGATGGAGAAATCTGTTCGCGATCAGAAAAGAATTCATAAAGGAAGGCAAAAGAGCAGTTATCTCTGTGGACAAACTATACGTCGATGGCCAATTGTATCGCGATAAAAATATAACTCCGTTGTTATATTAGCCACTTTATAGTGGCGAAATGCCTTCTCTCTCTCTCTCTCTCTCTCTCCCACACACACACACGCACGCACACACACACTAATACAGTGGAAAATCCAAGGTATATACTTACACAACGTATGGAGTGGAACTCTATATTAATATACATGTGTATGTGCACATGCACGTAGTGCGTATATACGTCTGTGCTGCGTGTGTTTGTGTGTCTAAGTGTATATGCCAAGTTGTAACCTCTTTCTCTCTCTATCTCTCTCTCTATTGTGCACACCCACACGTGCGCACGCACGCGCTCACTCATGCAGACGCATGCATGATCCCACATTGACCCACACACCCTGTAAAATATATCCATAACATCCTAGGCTGTACTTAGGAATAACAAACTGCAAAAAAAAAGGTCTGTTACTGTATGCCCCTCAAACCAAACACTACTTTTATATTCTTTTCTCTTTTTTCTCTTGTTAATTACTTGCTCTCCATTGTAATTTTTTTTTTTTTGGTCCCCTCTTCGCATATTCTTTTTTTTTCTCTGAAAAAACAAACACTAAACAAGACCTCTCTTATCGCTGCCATATATTCCGGATATTAAAGATGTATCTCTGCTCACATACACAATACTCTACACCACACACACCAGAAGACGAGCACAAACATCTTCACACTCATTTAACAGCTTTAATACACACAATTGAAATTTACGCTACACATGTCACTTAAGTTTGTTACCTGGAACATTCGTGGTATTGGCACAAATGCTAAACAGACCAAAGTACTACACCTTCTATATTCTTTAAAGGCAGATATCTGTTTTTTACAAGAAACACATCTATCAGAAACAAATCATCACAAATTGAAGTCAGCACAGTTCAGTCACACATTCTCAGCTTACTACAATTCCAAACAAAGAGGTGTTTCCATCCTAATAAATCAAACATAACATCACGATATCAGACCCAGAAAGAATTGATTTTTTTCTAACCAGTAACTCTATTACGTCTAATATCTCAGACATAATATACCACCCTATAATAATTAGTGACCTTACCCCTGTTTCACTCAAGTGGAATATAAATCACGTACATAAATCTTTCAGATGGCTCCTAAATACTTCTATCCTAAAAGATCTAGAATTTGATAGTTATATCAGAAAAGAGTGGGCATCCTGCCTAGAAATAAATGATTCTCCAGAAACTCCACCAACACTACTTTGGGAAACCAGGAAAGCCGTTCTAAGAGGCAAAATAATATCCTACTCCTCGCATAAGAAAAAGAAATACAGAAAACGAATCTAATCTACAACAAAAAATTAAGGAATTATCAAATAAGATGTTAAACAACCCCACAGACAAAACTGAAAATGAGCTAAAGAAATGCAACACACAACACAACGAACTCATAAATAAGAAGACTCAATTCCTAATACAACAATTAAGACACACAAATTTTGAACACAGCAACAAATCTGGAAAACTCTTGGCTAATCTAGTAAAACATAACAAAGAAAAAACAACAATACCAGTAATCAAGGATGAGACAGGAAATATTATGCAAACACCAGAGGAGATCAATCAGGTATTCAGAAATTTTTATAAAAATCTATACTCACTAGAACACGATCCAGAAACAGAAGACATTTGCACTTTTCTTAATAACATAAATCTTCCAAGACTGACCAAAGAACAAACACAAATACTGGAAAATCCAATAACATCAGAAGAACTTTATAATGCCCTTCACCACATGTCTAATAATCAAGCATCTGGTCCTGACGGCTTTTCCCGCGGAATTTTATAAACACACAATACTCGCCCCACTATTCAATAGAATGACAGCAGAAATAAAGCATAACAAGATTTTACCATCTGAAATGAATACCGCTATAATCTCCCTTCATCTCAAACCTAACAAAGACCCCACCCTACCCTCCAGCTACCGTCCAATATCCCTCATTAACACAGACATAAAAATTATAAGCAAGACCTTGGCGACTAGATTAGAAACAGTTATCCCATCACTTATACACCCTGATCAGACCGGCTTCATCAAAGGAAGACATTCAACCACTAACATGCGCAGACTACTTAACTTGATACATCACACATCGATTCACAAATCAGAAACTGCAATAGTCACATTAGATGCAGAGAAAGCTTTTGATAAAGTCAATTGGAAATTCTTGTTCACCACATTGCACAAAATAGGGTTCGGAGAATCATTTATTAATTGGATAAAAATTCTTTACACTGCACCCAAGGCCACAGTCAGTACTAATGGACTAATATCACCAAATTTCACACTGCACAGAGGTACTAGCCAAGGATGCCCCCTCTCACCCCTCCTATTCTCAACCAGTGGCAGCAGCTATACGACAAAACACAAACATAAAAGGTATCCAAACCCAAACTGTAGAACACAAAATCAATTTATATGCAGATGACATGTTTTTTGCAGGATCCCCCCACATCAATCCCTCAAACCATACAAATTATTGAAAAATACTCCAATCTCCAATTACTCTATTAACTGGACTAAATCTACTATACTACCAATCAACATGAACTTACCAGATACAGCAGCACAGTCTCTTCCTATCCCCTTGAGCACCCAATACGTCACATATCTGGGAATCAAAATTTCCTCCCAGCTGTCAGAGCTGCCTAAACTCAATTTTAACCCATTACTCTCAACTATAAACACTGACCTCAAACACTGGATGAACTTTCCACTATCTCTTATTGGCAGGGTATCTACAATCAAAATCACCGTATTACCAAAAGTAAATTATTTTTTCTCAATGATTCCAGTTCAACCTCACTCTACCTGGTTCAAAACCTTAGACTCTTATCTCCAAATTTTACTGAAAAAATAAACCACCTAGGATCAAATTAATTACATTACAGAAGCACAGAACCCAAGGAGGCCTCGAAGCCCCCAGTTTCCAACAATACTTCCTAGCAAATCAATTACAGTACGTAATAAAATGGATAAAGCCTAGTCAAACAGATGAATCATGGAGAGCAGTAGAACAAGCTTCAAGTAATGAAATACAACTCTCAGACTTACCATTCATTAGTACAACACTCAAACGCCACTCCTGTTTCAAAAACCCAGTGATAGCATCAACACTGACAGCTTGGTGGAAACTGCACAAGAACACTGACACTATAATTTCACCCTCCGAAAACTCACCCATATGACACAACCCTGACTTCCCTGCCATCAAAAAAACAACTCTACACAAATGGAAAGACAAAAAGGTATTACTCATTTACATCACATTCTACAGAATAAAAACTTTGTAACCAATTTACATTTAACCCAGGTATACGGCAATGAGAGTAACCAGTTTCTGGAATATCATCAGCTTAGATCCATACTGAACTCAAAAATTAAAGACAAAAAAGATAAACTAGAATTAAGTCCACCAATTTCAGAATTCCTAAACATCTCCTTCTCAAAAAAATATTATCTAAAATTTATAAATTCCTATCTGAATTAGACCAAACAATTTATGTACCACGGAAAAAGTGGGAAGAAGATCTCTTGGTTACTCCCTCTACCGACCTCTGGTTACAACCATTCTAGGTCATGACTAACAATACTAACCTTCACCTCATACAATTTAAGGTAATTTACAGAGTACACTGGGCAAAGGCTCTATAAAATGGGATTAATAGACTGAAATCTGTATACACTGTTCACTAAGCATTTCTGACAGTTATATACATGCCTTGTGGCATTGCACACCAGTCAAGTAGTTGTGGCAACTTGTTATAAATCAACTAACTCCATTGTTAAAACAACCCACCTCCCCATCCCCATCACTCTGTTTGTTAGGTGACACATCATCAGTCCATCTAAACAAGGAAGAAAACAGAACACTTTTGGTGGCGCTAACCATCGCTAAAAAGACTATTCTGACAAACTGGAAAACAAGGAAAAAGATTACTATCAATCAATGGAAAACTTTCTAATAGAACACATAGCTATGGAAAAAATCTCAGCATCTATCAAAAACAAAATCACTTAATAGCATTCTACAACCACCTTAACTTAATCGACTTTTATACCTACCTGTGGTGCCTCTACCCGAATGTTCCTGGTCACGTATTAACGCGCACACACACACACAAATAAATATATATGGCAGGTATTATAAATAGCTATAGCTCAATTCATTGTCTGAGGGTACAAATATTATAATTACTGTTTTTTTTTCTGTTTTGTTTTTTTTTGTGTTATGTTTTTCTGTTTTACATGTTCTATATGTTTGTTTTTTCTTCCAATTTCTATCCTTTTTTTTTCCTTTATTCCCCTTTGCAATTTTTGTTTGCTTGTATGTTTGCAGTTTGTTGTCCTCCCTCTACACGATGACAGTATATACTAAAAGAAATTTGTAATAACAGTAATAAAGAAAAAATTGGTCCTCCAAAGAGGGGGGTGGTGGTGGGCAAAAAAAAAAAAATAAATCTGATCTCTCTGACACGATGGTTCACACTCGTTTAGGTATGTGATTCAAATCTGTTATTAATGTGATCAAACCGGCTTCCTGAAATGACCCGCATGAGCTCATCCTACTCAGGAACGTCACGTGAATGAATCACGTGCATCATCAGCACAAACTAACGAGCAGAACGAGCTTCGCTGTGAAGATAATTAACTCTGATCAGCTCTCAGCTTCATTATTAGAGGGAGACGAAGGAGAAAAAGGTGAGATGTGCTACTTTTCCACCATTTACAGGCTTTAACTTCTGTTCGGTGCTGTTGCCATGGTAACGCTGAATGGTATCGCATGCGCAGTGGGGAAAAAAAGCACATTTAATTCCGATCTGAGCTTCACTTTAAGGTTGCATGGCCACGAATCGGATACGTATCTTATCTAGGACCACATATGAAAGTGGCTCAGGTCGGATTTGAAGAGATCAGATTTGCGTGTCCACACAGCCCTGAAAACATCAGATCTGAGTCACATTAGGGCACAAAATTGGATTTGAGCCATTTCAACCTGATAATGTGAACATAGCCTTTGTTTCACTTTAATATGAGGTACTTCAATACATCAGCCAACTTCAGGTCAAATGCTCAGTGGTTTGCTCATGGCTTCTATGAAGTCAACTACAGAAATCCTTTCATCGCCTCATGAAAGGATTTTCATGCTTTGGCTCATGAAAATTCACAAAGTTGGTGGTTTTTCATGCCAGAGCTACTCACTTTCCACTTTATTAGAAACACCTACCTTGTGCTTCCACCCACTGGCCACTTTATTTGAAACACCTACTTTACACTTCCACTCACTGTCCACTTTGTCAGAAACACCTTTTTCTAGGCATGCCATTGTTCTTTATTGTTGTTTTTCTTCATTGATTCACAATCCCAGAAACTTGACATGAGCAGTGACTATGTAGGACAGCATTAATTAGCATTTGGTAAAGATTGACAGCTCCGGTAAAGACTGCAATATGCAATATTTGTAGGTATTATCCAGCCATTTTCAGACGTAATCGTTGAGCATAGCATATTTAATCAGCTTCCAATGTTTATAAGCATCATTTATGGAGGATACGGAGGACAGAGAAAAACGTCTTATAGGTTAAAACTACTATAAATAGGCTAATGTTTAGCAGGCCCGTGCTAAAGCTTGCGCCTCAAAGCTGTCGAGGGCACTGTACATAAAGTGGTGTGTCAGCTTATGGCAAATCCAATTTAATTTGGGTTTTTATTTAAAATATGAACTGAGTATTAGTTCAAAATGTAATCAAAATGGAAAAAGACTATAATTCAGTCACTTCAGTAGATGTGATTGGTGTTAAGTGCCTGGAGACAAAGTCAGTTAAAGCTCAAATTATTCATGGTTTCTGTCTTTTTCCCCATCTGCAAATTCAGATACCTGAGCTAACGAAACCCTCAGTCATTATGAGAGACAGAGGAAGAGTGGAAGAGATCATCCGTAACATGCACAGGGCAGGACCAGGTGCACTACAGGTACTGCTACACACACTGGCCACTTTATTAGAAATACCTACCTTGTGCTTCCATTCACTGTCCACTTTATTGGAAACACCTACATTACACTTCCACCCACTGGCCACTTTATTAGAAACACCTACTTTACACTTACACTCACTGTCCACTTTATTAGAAACACCTACCCTGTACATCCACTCACTGTCCACTTTATTAGAAACACCCACCTTATAGCTCCACTTTGTAAGTGTACTGTTACTAGACTGTAACCTTTCTGTTACTGAGCAGTTTAATAGTCCCCCTCTACCCCATGCATCATTGGTCAGTTTCTGACCACAGGGCTGCCGTTGTCCAGATATTTAGGTGGTGGTCCATTCTCAGCACAGCAGTGGCACTGACATGTTTTTGTGTCTGGTGTTCATATAAGTGTATCATACACAGTGTTGTTGCTGGAGGTTTTTTTTTTTACACGTCACTGTCACTGCTAGGTTGAGAGCAGCACACCCCCACAAATATTAAGACAAGAATGGCTCTGTGGTCAGAAACTGACCACTAATGAAAGGCTGGAGGATGACTAATGCTAATCAATAGGTGAACGTCAGTCTATAACTGTACACCAGCAAGGTGGAGCTATGATGTTTACAGTACAATATGCAGTTACATACATATACATTACAGCATACAATAATGTATTCCCCTAATGTTTGTATAATAGTTCTCTCTGATCTAACCTGCTCTCTGTCCCTTTCTTATGTGTTAAGGTGATTTCTGACTTTGACATGATGCTCACCAGGTTTGCTTATAATGGAAAGCTCTGCCCAACATCATATGGTGAGTACACATATACACTCAGTAACCTGCATTGATGTACTGCTTGTTCTGCTGTGTAAATCAGAGAATGCTATTCTATACTTATTATAGTTTTTAACTTTTTTATCCAGTAATTAATCAGACCCAACTAACTTAATGTCTTAATAGCTTATGACTGTTGAACATTAGATAGAGCTAACAGTCATGCAAACAGTTATGCTGTATAATGTACAAACTTTATTTTAGAGATGCATATCAGTATACACTGATGAGCCAAAACATCTTGACCACATGTCTAAAATGCTGCTGGTCCTCCACGTGTCACCATAACAGCTTCAACCTGCCAAGGCATAGACTCTTCAAGACCTCTGAATGTGCCCTGTGGTATCTGGCACGTAGACATTAGTAACAGATCCTTTAAGTCCTGTAAGTTGCCCAGTGGACCTGACTCATTCCAGCACATCCCAGAGATGCTTAATTGAATGAGGTCTGTGAATTTGGAGGCCAGGGCAAAACCTTGAGCTCTTCATCGTGTTCCTCAAACCAGGTCATCTGGCCATAACGATTTGGCTCTTGTCAAAGCTGCTCAGGACTTCACGTCTGCACATTTCCCTCACATCATCTACATCAACTACAAAACTGACTGTTTGCTTACCATCTAATATATCGCAGACTTTGACATGCGCTCTAGTTAAGAGATAATCATTGTTATTGGCTTTATGTGTGAGCAGTCTTGTAATGTTTTGGCTCGTCTGTGTAAATGGGTAACAGAACTGGGTTCATGTGCTGGAAAATGCTGGATCGCCTGGATGTCAGCTGTGTAGTTCTTCTTGTGGGTTAGTAGATTGATTGGGTAGTTTGAGCATGATAGCCTGCTGATAGAAGATCATCCTAAGCGAAGTGCTTTAATTAAAATGGCTCATTTCAAAGTTCAGTAATTTTTAAAGAAAAAATATTGGATGATAGTTTGGTGCTCAAGGTTTAAATATCAGTATCAGTGTGGTTGGTATAGTGTAGTAAGTAACACCTCTGTTATGCTGTAGACTGGGGTTCAATCCCCCACCTGGGTAAGCACTGGAGGTGGGAATCTCTAGGCACCCCACGATTCGATTTGATTATGATTCAGAGGCTGCGATGCAATTATAAAACGATTATTGATGATCTTGATGCATCTTTTTTTCTATACAGGATTTCTATTTTCTCACTGTGTGAGGACTTGGTACTTTTAAAGCAAAGTATTTGTAATGATCTATAATGAATTTACTTCCAATATCTTATTAATAAAACAAATGGAAGTGATGTGGCAAGTGAACTGGAAGGCTCTCATTCACTGCTCTTGTTTGGAGCACGAGAAGCTGCTGCCACTCATCTGCGATAAAATGCGCTGTTGCTGTGACAAATTCTGTGGCAATGGATGTCCACGCAGCATATGTCACAGCTATCCTACCCGTTTTGTTCAGTGATTTAATAACTTCAGTTTTGGTCTCGTAGTAGAGAGTGGGGGGCTCACTGTGTCAGTAAAATATCTTTGAGATGGGTCGCTGTATCTCGGCTCCAAAGTGTGCAACATGGCGCGAAAGCCCTGATTCTCAAAGACTGGGAACGGACCAAATCCTTAGCAATAAAAGTTGCGATAGAGTTTGTAGTTCGCTTTGCCCTTTCTGAGTTGGGTGGAAGCTTTGACATCGCTTACTCGATGGTCCTCTAGTTGGCAGCAACTACAACCAGACGGAAAACACGTGGACACATGTAATATGGTTTCTAATGTTTGTCGTTTCCAAAATACTTTAGTGTGACACAACTTGCATATAGTGTGGCTCTTGTCCAGGTTCTAACACGGTTTTAAACAGTAGATGGTCTTAAACGCTGCTAATTCAACATCCTATAACCCTGAAGGTTGGCGTGCAGACTGCAGGTCACATACCAACGCAGAGAGTCTCGCTGAGCTAGTAGCTAACGAAACGGCAAAGAGAGGAATTTAAGACATTTGGAGATGAATGGACTTATTTGCATTTATTAGAACCGCATTTGGTTTCCTAGTACGTTAAATCTGCAACAAGAGACTGTCAAACACTAAACAGTTGCGAAGATGAAGTCAGCTTCTCTTTCGAATTTTCCTGTTCCACCTTAAATAGTGCCGCATGTATGCGCGCATGTATTGAAAGTGGCTATAGCTAAAGCTTAAAGCAGAGCAAAGTATGTCTGCGTTTTCGTTTATATTTTTGAACCTATACTAGGACTTTAGCATATACTGAGACATACTGGACATAAAATGTTGTGGCTCACAAGGTGGTTTGGTTTTTGTTGAAAGGACTAAATGGCTCTTCTTAACATTTGGGTTGTCAACTCCTGATCTAACCTACGCTATATTGCCAAAAGTATTCGCTTGTCTGCCTTCACACACATATGAAATTGAGTGATATCCCATTCTTAATCCATAGGGTTTAATATGATGTTGGTCCACCCTTTGTAGCTATAACAGCTTCAACTCTTCTGTGAAGGCTTTCCACAAGATTTAGGAGTGTGTTTATGGGAATTTTTGACCATTCCTCCAGAAGCGCATTTGTGAGGTCAGACACTGATGTTGGACGAGAAGGCCTGGCTCGCAGTCTTCGTTCTAATTCATCCCAAAGGTGTTCTATCGGGTTTAGGTCAGGACTCTGTGCAGGCCAGTCAAGTTCTTCCCACTAAACTCGCTCATCCATGTCTTTATGGACCTTGCTTTGTACACTGGTGCGCAGTCATGTTGGAACAGGAAGGGGCCATCCCCAAAGTTGGGAGCATTAAGAGTTCTTTTCACTGGAACTAAGGGGCCGAGCCAACTCCTGAAAAAACAACCCCACACCATAATCCCCCCTCCACCAAACTTTACACTTGGCACAATGCAGTCAGACAATTACCGTTCTCCTGGCAACCGCCAAACCCAGACTCGTCCATCGGATTGCCAGACGGAGAAGCCTGATTCATCACTCCAGAGAACACGTCTCCACTGCTCTAGAGTCCAGTGGTGGCGCTTTACACCACTGCATTCAACGCTTTGCATTGCGCTTGGTGATGTAAGGCTTGGATGCAGCTGCTTGGCCATGGAAACCCATTCCATGAAGCTCTCTACACTGTTCTTGAGCTCATCTGAAGGCCACATGAAGTTTGGAGGTCTGTAGCGATTGACTCTGCAGAAAGTTGGTGACCTCTGCGCACTATGCGCCTCAGCATCCGCTTGCTCATCCAGCTGTGTTTTTGTTACGTGCCGTCACAGACTGACCGGGTGCTGCACTCCCACACTTCCTAGTTCCGCCTTTTACGTTACGTCAACATTATGTTGTAAATTAAAATTTAGAAAATCGATTTGACATTTGTGAATCGATTCAGAATCATTCACGTCCGCATCGTGATGCATCTAAGAATCGATTTTTTTTTTCCCTCCACCCCTAGTAAGCGTTTTAGATGAAAAATGAAAAAGAAAACCACATGAATGTTGAACATTAAAGGTTTCCTTTTACCCCACAGGCATCCTTGAGAACAGCTCCCTCATTAGCAAACACTGCAAGGCCAAGGTAGGTGACTGATTACGGCGAAAATGACAGTATCTAAAAGTTACTAAAATGTGTATAATAATATAAACAATGTGATTAAATATAAGACTGAATGTCGTGGGTCAGAAAACTATGTTGTGTTTCGACAGACGTGATTTTGTAAGTTTGCTAGTGCAAGTAGTGCAGAGTTCAGCTCCAGGCCTGCAACCCCTGCTCTGAATAATTGTTGTTTCCCTGGTTAAAATACCTGATATTATTAACTAAGTAATCCCTTCTTGAGCTGAACGAGGTGTGAACAGCAGAGAGAAACACTAAACTATACAGTGCAGGGCTCCAGGCCTGGAGTCTGAAACACTGCATTAAAAGGTCTGTGTATCTCTTGTCTTTCTTGGCTTCTGTCGCATTTTGCAGGTGAATCATTCACAAAGCACAGAAAATTAAAGGCATCGTGCAGCACAATCACGATTCGGTCCTCAAAATGGCAGCGGCTGTACTATTATATACTATTCTCTGCCTGTTGATGCTTTTGTTACCAATCATGACATACTGTGAAGTAATATTTCACACTAGAGATAGTCATATTGCCCAGCCCTGTTACCATCATGCTGCCTTTCAAATAGTTTTCAGTCTCCATTTCCTCATCTGAGCTGTCCTAACCTTCCCTTTCATAGTTTTTACTTTATTCATGTTAATGTTTCTGTCTGCTGAAGTTTTTCTTGCCTTGGTTTTTGATGGTCCCTTTGCTTTTGTTTATTGGATTTTAAATTCCGTTTTGAAATCATTGGTTGGCTCAAAGAAAAAAAAACAGTGAATGAATAAACACCAGGTGAACTATTGTTGTTGTGTTTTTTTCATTCTAAACCAACCTCATTACCAGAATTTTGTCAGATGGACAATGGTTAAGATGATTTCATGTATTTTGCTATTACTTATTTTCAAAAAACTAACTTGATATTAATAAATGAATGAATATTGTTATTTAGTAGCTCTATTTACCTAATGTTTAAAAGATAAAAGATAAATCTGATACAACCATGTGCTACAATTTAGTTCATATTCTGTTACAAAGCTTGGTGTTAATAATTATTGATTAATGAGTACCTGCATGGTTTTAATGATGTAGGCTATATTTCAGATGAGGTAAATCTAGTGAATGGATGAAGGTAGTTGAAGGTAGTTGTGTCAGTGTCACAGAAACTGACTGCCAAAGTTTGTATGTCAGGTTGAAAACGTCAGTCGAGGCACTCTTTCATGTCAAAATTCGTTTTTATAAAACGCTACTTGAGCATGGATTTTTCAGATCAAAGTTGTGCAGATGAATCTTTTATAAAAGAGGCCCCTGGATTTCTCTATCCTCAGATTGCTGCATTAAGATGTGTGTATTTTTTTTACACCCTTAGTAACATTGCACTGTGTGATGTCCATGTAGGATTGTAATGGTGACTCTGTGTGGATGTGTGCAGGGACGGGTATGAGGTTTTCTTTGGCTCATTGAAGGATCACTCCATCCCTCTGCTCATCTTTTCGGCTGGACTGGGAGATATACTGGAAGAGGTGATCAAACTCAACGGTCTGTTCCACCCCAACATACGAGTCTTCTCCAACTACATGGGGTTTGACAAAAACGTAAGTGTGTCTCTCTTTCAGCCATAGAACGGAATTGGAACCATAAATGGACATTAGGCCTGTGCTGCTGTCAAAGCAAAATATACACCCAGTTGTCCTTTACCACAAATGTACACTTAAAAAAGATGGTTCTATCTTATATATGCAGACGTGAATGATTCTGAATCGATTCACAAATGTCAAATCTATTTTCTAAATATTTAATTTATAACGTGATGTTGGCGGAACGCAAAAGGCAGAACTTGGAAGTGGGTAAGTGCAGCGCCCGGACAGTCTATGACGGCACACAACAAAAACACCACTGGAGGAGGCAGAAATCCAACCGGCTCCCTCTGCATTAAAAGCCAGGTTAGATCAGGAGTCACAACCCAAATATTAAGAAGAGCCATTTTGTCCTTTCAACAAAAATCAAACCACCTTGGGAGCCGCAACATTTAATGTCCAGTATATCTCAGTATGTGTTAATGTCCCAGTATAGGCTAAACAATATAAACGAGAGCGCAGACTTACTTTGCTCTGCTTTAAACTTCGCCTACAGCTGCTTTCCTCCCATTTCCACCAGAAAACTTTTCCTCAAAACTAGAGCAGTTTCTTGTAAAATGTCTCAACATTCAGCTGTCTTACAAGGCTGAAGTCGCTTCTCATTCAAATTCTGACTGAGGCGCCGAAGGTAAATGCGGCACCATTTAAGGTGGAATGAGAAAATTTGGAAGAGAAGCGACTTCATCTTTTCCACTGTTCACTGTTTGACAGTCTCTCGTTGCAAATTTAACTTGCCATGAAACCAACTGCGCTGCTTATAAATGTGAATAACGCATCATTGCTATGTGACCTGCAGATGAGTGGCAGCAGCGTCTCATGTGCTCCAAAGGCAGTGAATGAGAGCCTTCCAGTTCACTTGCCACATCACTTCCATTTGATTTATTAATAAAAGTTATTGGAAGTAAATTCATTATTGATCATTACAAATACTTTCCTTTAAAACTACCAAGTCCTCACACAGTGAGAAAATAGAAATGTATAGGAAAAAAAACAGATGCATCGATAATCATTTTATAATCGCATCGCAGCCCTCTGAATCGTAATCGAATCGTGAGGTGCCTAAAGATTGCCACCCCTAAAATATACAATGTCAAGCTTGTAACAGTAGAACCATCTACAGCACGTTCCCAAGAACCCTTTCATGATGTAAAGAACACTTTAATCAGGCAAAGTGTTCTTTGAGTGTTCATGGTTCATGGCAAACAGAATATTTTAATCGTAAATGTAAGCGGTTTAATCCTGTTTGATCTGGCTAATTTATTGAGCTGTTGGCACTGTCAACAGCTAAGCTAACTCGGCTCACTGTACTTCTTCTGAAGGGTTAGTTGTCTTTTGATTTAATATTAAAATCAAGCAAATGTGTTTGAAATTTATATAACAAGGCAAATTAATTTGAGGCAAAAGTCTGTCATAATTAAGGCTTGAAGCTAGCACTATGCTAATTAGTGTGATAAGCTTGCATTATGTGTTGGCTATAATATATTGTAAGTCCAATACAAAACTAAAGAAGCAACCTTCAGACACACAAAATGTCGACTACACTTCAAGGGAAACTGTAAATTCAATTTAAAGAAGTAGTTCGGCCAAAAATGTAATTTCAGTATTTTGATTCAGAGCTCCATTTCAGGTTCAGCTGTAAATTTACCTCCCTTGCTGTTTGTTGTCCGAGGTAAAATATTAACCTTTACCTTACAGACTTTAATGTGAGCGAAACTGTATTCTGACAACTTCACACATCAATACTAAAATATAGCTGGTCATCCATGTAACGGCAGGATGCGTGTTCATAACATGCTTTACAGCCATTTATGTGGTGAACTGGTACTAATTATCACAAACAAATGGGGGCAATAAACATTTAAAAACAAACTCCCGCTGTCCCTCCAAACTGGCTCTGCTCCTTTATCATAGTAGCGTGTGACACTCATTTGAACTAAGGGTTGAGAAGGATCCATCGATGATCCTCAGAATTTGGCTGAAATAAGGACGCGTTTCTCTGCACACCCCCCCCCCTTTTGGAATTGGACTTATGCTGCCTATGTTGCTTATGATGTATGCGGCCGAGAAATGGAACCTTCAAAGGTCACGTCCACGCAAATGAGACGCATCATGTGTTAGTAGAATGGACTGCGAGTCACAAAAGCTAAAAAGAAAAACGAAATTACTTAGTTGTTAATAAATTGATAAGGCTTTAATAGCTTAAAATCCCAGGCTTATTACATACTAAGCGTTATTATTCAGTAACTGCATCAAGTACACATCATCAATGCAAACCGGCTAAGTTATTCTTAGGTTATAGAAGTGTGTAATAAAAACACACACTTACAAAAGATGGTTCTTCAAGGGTTGTTTATTAGCAGTGGTTCCATTTGGAACCAAGAATTCTATATAGAACCATTTCATCCTTTTGCATGGTGAAATGGTTCTTCAGATTGATGGAGAATGTGGTTCTATATATGGTTCTATATAGCATCAGCATATCAGCATATAGCTTGGCATGATGGAAGAACTCATGGTTCTAAACAAAACAAGACCCATCTTTTTAAGTGTGTAGGACCAGATGGTGGGTCCTGACCATTCGAGGGGTTAACGGATTGAATCACAGAACGCTCATGCATACAAAACGTAAAAGAAAATTTGTGACAAATTCCACTGGCAAACTGCCATGAAATTTATCGAAAATATTGTCCCAGCTCTATAGATAAGTGTGAAAACCACATAAGCAAGTCTATTTGAAATTGCTTAACAACTAAGCATAGTTTGAGGCAGGTATGTGATGATGTACACATCCCTTTTTGCAGAATGCTAATTGGTTAGCTACAGAGAGATTCACTCGAAAGAGGCCCTGAATATTCTTTTGTAACTCCCATTAGGATGAAAAGCAGTCGGAACCCAAAAAAAATACGCTGCATACCTTGACATGTGTAAATCAATTGCATTACATCTCCGTTTTCTGTGAGACAGATTTCTTCGTCCTAGCGAGAGTTATTACAGAATATTCGGGGCCTCTTTCAAGTGAATTTCCCTGTACATTAGCCTTGTAGCTCTGGTTTAGTGTTTTTTTTTGGGTTTTTTTTGTTTTGTTTTTTTTTATTATTTCTATCGCTTAATTCTTGTTTTTAATTCAGTTTAAATAAGTATTCCTTTAAAATTTGAATTGATTTCTTTTACTTGTCTTGTTGAAGGTTGAGGAGAGGAGGGATGCGTACGTCGGCTCTTATGACATCGTGCTGGAGAAAGACGAAATGCTGGATGTTCCCAATGCCATCCTCAACTACATCACTGAGGGAAAACGAAGCTTCATACTGTTGACCTCATGAACTACGTGATGTACACATGGAAGAAAAGCCAAAAAAAGACACCTCTGCTGAAGGACCAGAACCATATGACAATTTTAATAACCACACACTTGTGGTCTGTTATTACTTGTAAGCCATAGTTTTGGGTTTTTTGAGACTGATTCCCAGTATCATTATTCTCAGACTGTAACTCAGTTCCAGGGGTAGTGGTTGCCCTACGAAATGGGACAACCCTCAAATTTTACTGCTAGTGGTGCTCTGTAGGCGACCCGGCCTGACTTCAGTGATGGGAGAGAAGGAAAAAGTTCAGCTCATCACTGCTGGGCTTTAATTACATTTAGGTCATCATATGCCTTTAAAGAGGGGGGATAAGACAATTATTTAATCACCCACCACTAATTCTTTGGTGATACGAAGCTGAAGTCAGCTATTCTTGTTCGAATTTCCCTGTTCCACCTTAAATGGTGCAGAAGTTACGTTCTGTTGCTTCAGGCGTCAGACTGTTTAAGGTGGAATGGGAAAATTAGCTGGCTAGCTACCGAGACATTAGCATACTTTGAACGATTTTATGCTTGTTATGAAGAAAACGACCCAAATACATTGAAACGGCATTAAACTAAGATAATACAGTGGTTATCGATTTTATCATCGGAGAAAATTCTCACATTTGTGGGTTTCTTTGGTCTCTTGTTCAGCCATCTTGCCGGTTTTTCTTTTTTTCTGATAACACTCCGTTTAGAGTGTGTCTCTGAAAAACCTCAGTTTGGAGGGTCATGCAGCCCTAATACTTCACCCTTCTATCTCAACAAAAATTGGGACATCCTACTCCTAGACGTGAACGCGCAAAACAGAGGGCTAAGGGCTCAGTGGTAGGGGCGAGGGGTGAAATGGGATTGGGCCCTGATGACCTGACGTTTCAGTATTAGCTGACTTTTTTTTTTTCTTGTCATTATTCAGCAACCAGACTTTCATTGCTTTCATAGCAGGACAAATGAACAATAATTAAAAATTGTAGTAATAACAATTGTTGTAATGGTAGTAATTTAAGATTAATGCAAAATCAGTTAACCACCTCCCTCTCTTTACTTTCGTTTTCTTAAAAAAAACACACTTTGGGACTATAAAACACACCTTTGGAATTGTTCATGAAAAATCTGCATTAACCACTTCTCTTTCTTTACCTATGTTTTCTTTAAATAGACAAAAATATGCATAAAACACAAAATCTTTCCCTTTAATGAAAAATCTGCATTAACTTCTTCACTTTCTTTACTTCAATTTTCTTCAAGGGAATAAAAAAGCACTGGGATTATGAAACACACCCTACTCCTCTAGCTTTAATATACATGTCTATTAGCTACTAAATCAAAATGTACTGAAAATGTGAGAGTGGTTACATTTTACTTTCAGGTTTTAACGGCTAAAAATGTGCGTTTCGCAATTAAAACCAGTTTTTCCTTCGAATATTCGACTCAAATGCCATTTTATGCACATTTAACGTTACTGGATAACTGTGTCTCAAAGTCACCGTGTGTTTCGTTTTCAGTCTGACCGATTTCTATATTAGACTCTGTTCACTGAAGCAACTCGACAGTAAATATAACGAAAATGAACAGTGTTTAAATCTCTGCTTACCGTCACAGATAAACAGAACTCCTGATAGAAAAAGGAAAATATTTAAGCCCATCTTCATATCTGAGAGGAACACGGCTCTGTATCAAACAACTTTACTTCTCAAACTCTGGCGGTGGGCGGGACAAAGGGGGCGGCTGTCAATCACTTGGCGACTCGAGCCATTCACATTATAGCTACCGAACTCTAACGAGCCAATCACCAACAGGAATACAAGGTGCCGTAGAAACAGGTCTAATAGTACATTAATCGCCAGTTTCAGCGCCGAAACTAAGATCAGAATTCCAGTGAGGTCCATTTTGCGGAAATGTGACCCACATCATAGAGAATAAAATAACTCTTAAATATGAGAATTACACCAACTGTCAGTTTCTCCTTTAAGTTTTTTTTAACCAAATCACTGCTCCTTTAAATTCAATGAATCATTTCACTATATTTGTATTTTCAGCTGTTAATACATACTGAGACCACATACAGTAAATCAAGTGATAGTTTTCGTTTGCCCTTTTGTCTTTAATTAAACATTAAACAAATGTTTAATGTTTAAACGTAACAAAATACTGCTTTAATTTCTCATCTAAATCACTAACATAGCCGACTATGGAGCCAGTAGCCTAAACTGAGCAGCTGCTGGAACTAGACTAAAGCGTGCTAATTTAGCTGGTGACGTTGTTAGCGCTCCAAATAAAAATATTTATTAAAATGGTTTTTGCATTTTACAAGCATAACAAGTAAATTTCACTCATAAACTCTTACATTTTTCCCATAGCGATGTTATATGTTAGCCTTTAGCATGTGTGCTGCACACCTGAACATCTCAAGAAGTCAAAGTTACTCTGGTACTCAGGGCAGCGTAGCGTCTCATACAGAGATAAACAGAGCGGGCAGTTCAGTCTAGGGCCGAACCACAGCTGTTCTGAGGTCAGTTGAGAACCTCTCACTGTTCACTGTGTGGTTTAATTGCTTTTTCCACACTGAATCTCATAAAACCCTTCAGAAACTTCTCAGCACCTCGGCGTCCTAACGCTGGTCACGGCGCTGCTAACGTACTGAAGTAATAGTGGATAGCATCAATTACTAAGCTGTGATTGGAGAGTTTAGAAAATAACAGAGTTTGGCAGATTTTGATTGGCCAAACTACAGTAACAGCGCTCACAGAAAACAAATTTCATCATCCCAGAAATGCGACATAATAAATATTCTGTTCCCATTTGATTGGGTGGCCTGTACTGTGGCTGCGGCCCTGAGTAGACTGTATTATCATTATTGTTTCTACATTTAATCTCATGAATGAGGGAAAGTGAAACACCCTTCTGAAACTACTGAGGACCGGACCTCTGTGTCCTCATAGCTACTTACAGCCATGCTCAGTTTTACTGATTTTAGAGTAATAAATACTGCACTGCATTTCTACAGCTGCACTGAACTAAAACTGCAGCAGTGCTGCGCATCTTTGGAGGTAGCAGTGATTTAGCTTGTATTTGTGAACGCAGACCACGCCTTGGTAAGTGAGATAATGAGGGGGGGGGACGCTGAGGAATTTTGAGCTGGAGTTCAGTACGGCTTCTGTGGGTCACAAGAAGGCTGACCCCCCCCTATATTAAAGATCAAGTGCAGGCGTGGACAAGGTGGAGGAGAAAGGGGAGGAGGTGGGGTGCGAAATTTCTTCACGAGTAGGAAGAGTGACGGACTGGTATTTATAGGAAGCTGGAATTGAGAAGGAGGAGTTTAGGCGTGGTCTTTCCTCAAACTTCAGTTATGTCATAACTTCATTTGTGTTACTTGAAGCTCCATTATTGTTGCTCTAGTTGTGGCATCAGTTAAATTTGGGGGAGGTGCATAAAGTTGCCACCCATTTCAGTTCTTTGCCAGCTGAGCTTGCTGGGCAAGGCTGCCAGGTGTATGTTCTGTTAGTGATGGTAATACAAATAAGAGCTGGCTCTTTTGGTTTATAGGTGTTAGTTAGCTTTGGGGCGATAATTGATATTCAATATTGTGATCATTTTGATAAGTGCCAGTATTATGCAAGCTGTCTTCCTTTTTTATTGATTTGTATGGAGTTAATTTTGTGCCAGAATGTTTGAGAGAAGATCATGATGTTTGAGAGAGGAATGTTCCGGTTTGAGAGGACAGCGGTTTAAACTCAGGCCGTCTGGCTGCGCCACCACAGGGTTTGGGAGGCAGGACCCAAACGCTGAGCTTCTATGCAATTGGAAGGTATTATTAAAATAATATATATAACCACGGATGCCGGGGCTCAAACTCACGCCGCCGCGTTAATAAACCGGCGCTCTACTACTGCGCTATAGGTGCTGTACGAAGGGTTCGCTTTAAAAGGGAACACCAGAAAACGGGTGGGAAACAAAAGGCAGTGTGAAAACCCTCCCACTAAGGCTTAGGCGGGAACAGAACAAAGGACGCCAGGGGAAAGACTGGCTCTCTCAAACACTGAGGAAATGATAACTGAAAAAACACTTTCCCAACAGAAGAGAATGACTGAAGGAGAATGAAGAGGAGAAAGGGACAAACTTGTCCCTTTTCTTGCTTTACGTTTATTTCTTTCTTTTTTTTAAAAGGAAGAAAGACACAACTCGAGAAAGAGAATAGGCTTGAGAAGTGACAGAGAGAAACGAGCTCGAGAGAAATTCTCTAGAGCTTCTTCCTGAAATTACCGGCCGGTCTGTTTGCCAGAACTCTAAAACAAAGACTCAGCAAAGTGTGTCTTCTTCCTGTTTGATTGTCTTTTTTGGGAGTCCAGTTAGGAGACCATTACAGTAATCAATAATCCTGATAGAAATAAAGGCGTGGATGAGTTTCTCCAGATCTAGTTTAGCCAGAAAATCTCTAATCTTGTTGATTACCTTAAGGTGATAAAAAGCTGATAACTGCTATGACACAACTGCTAAAACTAAGATCAGAGTCCATTAGTACACCAAGGTCACATACTAGTTCTTTAGATTTTAGATTTCTCATCAGTCCAGATAGGCAGCTAGTCTGAGCCTGTCGTTGCTGTTTCCAATTAAAATAATCTCTGTTTTATCTTTATTCAACTGCAGCAAGTTTTGTCCCATCCAGTTAGTGATGTGCTCAAGGCACTTACAAAATGAGTCAAGAGGACCATAGTTGTTTTGGGAGAGGGCCAAGTAGATCTGGGTATCATCTGCATAGCTGTGGTAAGATATCCCATAGTCTTGTAGTATTTGGCCAAGAAGCAGCATGTATTAATTGAATAGAAGTGGCCCAAGAATTGAATCCTGTGGGACACCATTGGTCACTGGCACTCTGTCAGAAACATTATTTTCTATGTCTCTTCCTTGCAGGTATAGCCTGAACCATTTTAGGACAGCTCCTGAGAGCCCAACCCAGTTCTCAAGTCTATCTATGAGAATTTTATGGTCAATTCTATCAAAGGCAGTGCTGAGATTTAGCAGTAGTAGATGTTCATGACATCAGTGAGCACGAACAGCCAATGAGCTGCTCCGCTCACCAACCAATCAGCACTTGGTAGCAGTAACGCTAGCATCCTGTTGTTAAACTGAAGTGATATTTCCTGGTTCATATGAATGTGAACTGTCAGGAGTGCTTTACATTAGTTTGACCTGTAAGTG